GAAAGGAAATCTGGAGAATAGTTCAGCTATAGCAATACACTACATGCAATTGCACACAAACATACAATAGGATGATGACAGTCTTAAAGTGGAATATGATAGGGTGGGGCAGGAGTGATTGATAATGGAAGCTTCATATATCGAATCAGCTGAGAAGTGTACGTGTAATAGGAAGGATTCAACACCTATCCAGCTGGACATCTGGTAAATTCTACTATTCCTACGAAGACGAATAGGAAGGAATAAGGAAAACTATAAAAATCAAGTTTCATATTCGTGTGATTATAACTGATATGATTATACAAAATAAATTGTGTTCGAAACTGTGTCATCCAGTAAGTAATAATACTGTTTCACTCTGCGTGTGATATATCTAATAAGTAAATTAATATAAAATTATGTACTAGCACAGTGTCGAAGTTTTGCACATATATATTAAATCGATTTCTGGGCATAAATTCATTGAAGTGACTGTAAGTCATTGCGCCGCTTGACCAATCCGCCTCTCTGATCCTCATTTTTAGGTGACTCCAGAAACTTTCAATGGAATTTGTGTCAATCCCATCGAAATTAATAACAATATCTTTAGTATGACGGACCACATTATAGGTATAACCCAGTGATAAAAGTTGGCTGTAGCTACTCACTTGGTATGTGCGTGTACAGTTGTGCCTGGTAGGGCTGAACGTTGCCACTACGATTAGGGATCATCTAGATATATCCTACATCCTATATAATTCCAAAACCTAGTGTCGATTAGTACTCAGTTGTACTGTTTTCTTTCTTCCTATGATGAGCCTGTAATCCAAACAGTACCTAAGTACTACATCTACATGAATTTCGCCACGTGATTCGTCTACAGCATCCATAATTGAGCCTATATTCTACGAAGTAATTTGATTGGTTGCTCAAGGTCATTGATTTGTTCATTCGGTAGTTTCGTTTTATGGTTGCTATAGCTTAGAGTCAGCCAATAAGAATTAGAGCAGATAGATGCATAGTGTTTGAATAGAAACTTGGGTAACCCAATGATAATTCAAGCAGACCGCTAGTGAATATAAAAGATCATTCTTGTTTCTTTAATCGAATTGATTTAATTCACGGAGAATATCCATTAAAACGTGAATATAAGAACAACAAAGTTCAGCGGAAAGTCTCTTTTTGGTGGCGAATTCATTCATCACTTAGCTGTACAAAAATAAAATAAAAATTTGTTAGGGTTACTATTTACATCATCAAAATGTTTCTAAAATGTGACGAATAATCAAAAATTGTAACTAGGGGGGGGTGAAGATTGGTAAGTATTGACAAAGGTTGCGTAATATGAAATAGGATTTTAATGGAGCCACGTAACCAAAAAATAAAATATACAGTCCCAAATCAGTAGAAGAGGAGATCACTCTTTTGAGGAAGACACTACTTGAGAAAATACTTGAGATAAAATATATTAAGCTACCTACCTGGGAAGCATCGTTTCAACTACAGGCGGGACTGACGAGGATATCAAAACAAGAATCGGAAAAGCAAGACAAGCTTTCATTACTCTCAAGTCTGTGTGGAGGTCAACAGCACTCAGCATCAAAAATAACATCCGGATTTTCAACTACAATGTGAAGTCAGTCAGTGCTACTCACTATACGGATCAGAGACTTGCACTGCGCGTGATGAAGAGCATCTCAAACAAACTACAGACCTTCATTAACAGTTGTCTTCGCTCAACACTCAAGATCAGATGGAAGGCCAGAAAAGATCAGCAACACGGATCTCTGGCAATGAGCAAACCAACACAGCAGGTACCGATTGTCAAACAGATAGGCAGGATGAAATGGAGATGGATTGGCTGGCCATACTCTGAGGAAACCATCAAGTGAGTGACATCACTAGACAAGCCATTGCTCGAGTGGAACCCGGCCGAAAGGGAAGCGGCGAGTTGGTCGTCAGTGCGAGGTTGGGTGACTTGGAGGAGGTCATGTGAAGAGGAGAAGAAAACATGTGGGCAGACTTGAAGCCAAGTGAAAACTCTAGCAGAGAACCGAACGCAATGGAGATGCACGGCTAAAGCCGTATGTTCCTCTAGGAATTAAAGGAAACAATAATAATATTAAGCTGAAAATCAACAAAGAACAAGTAATCTCTGTGCCGAAGAAGATGCTTTACATGAATCTGGAGTTTAAAGGTCACCTTCTGGTCAACATTTTAGAGCGAAGAATATCTAACTTCCTGAAAAGAACATTCCCTGCTGCTACACTACGATTGGTATTCTCAAGCTGCTTATTGTTCTTCAACGACTCCAAAGATAAACTATTACATCTGATCACTTCTATGTGTATCTATCAATTTACCTGCTAATGTGGAGCAAGATATATGCGTCTTTCGATGCGTGTTTCATCCAAAACAGTCAGAGAACATTATCCTACTTGGCTGTGAATAAGTAACAGTGGATCAATAAACAGCGCTGTAATTGAACTTGTGGTCAACACTGGTCACTCAATATGTATTAGAAGAATTCTTTCATAGTCATCTACAAAGTCAAAAGAAGCCTCCCGAAGACGGTAAGCTTCCGCATACTTTGCATTGCCGAGGTCTAAGCGAACCGAATTGGAAACCCTGAAGAAGAAACTTCTCCACCGCCTCCTTCTACCTTGGGTATAATTCCAAGTTCTACGACTTTGTTAGAAATTTTTGGTTTTCTTTTTTTGTTCTTTGAATTTTTGTATGGCATCTTAGTAACATCTTCTTCGTAATAACCAACCCTTTATTTACCCTTTCTATCTATTACATAATTTATTTGGACAAGTGTCTCCATTAACATTCTATTTCATATTACTCAACCTTTGTCAGTACTTACCAATCTTCACCACCCTAGTTAAAATTCTTGATCATTCATCACATTTGAGAAACATTTTGATGACGTAAGCAGTAACCCAAACTAATTTTTGATTTTACTACTTTTGTTTGACAATCCTAATGTACAAACACGCACACAGAATAATAATATATAAATGTAATTGTACAGCTGTAATAAAGGTTTTTGTATTTCCCAATGAATGAAAAACAAAATGATATTGTTTTTACTGACGTTTCACTATTTAATGCTAATAGCTACATCAAAGTATTATTAAACCGGAATTTACAAAATCTCAGCATATATATAACAAAGAGTTCACTGGACACCAGTGAAATAATTAAGAGCTTAAAATTCTGTCTTAAAAGTAATTATTTTACATTTAAAGAGAGTTTATATAGACAGACAAATGGTGTTGCTATGGGTTCACCAGTCTCCCCAATAGTCACCGACCTTTTCATGAATAGATTCGAAAATAAAATTTTTTCAAGAATACTCACTCCTAAAATATGGTTAGGATATGTAGATGATACTTGTGTAGTACTGAAATGAGATCTACACAATTCATTCCTGGAGAAAATAAACTGGGGATCTCCCAGAATCCAGTTCACTTCGGAAGCAGAATTAGACGTCGCTGAACTGCCATTTCTAGACTGCCTAGTTAAGAGGTGGAAAAACGGACATTTTAGTATATTTATATTCAGGAAGAAAACACACTCAAATAAATATTTAGACTTCAAATCATCACACCCCATCAGCACAAAGATTTCAGTTGTTTCAAGTCTTCTTAGACGAGCGCACTCTCTGATAACGGATGAGAAAGAAAAGGAAGAAGAAATATCAAACATTACTGAAACTCCCAAGCAAAACAACTACCCGAGGAACTTCATCAACAAAATCAACACAGACATTAAGTATGGCCGAAAACGCATTTCGAAACATGAACCTCAACAGTCGTCATCGTATATAGAGCAGAGACGCCAGACGATATCAGAAGAGTACTCAATCAGCTCGATTTAAGAGTTTTCTTCAAAACATCAGACACACTACGAAACAACCTTGTCCATATAAAAGACCAAATCCCTAAAGATTCTCTATCTAATTGTGTCTATAAAATAAAATGCTTGCAATGTGATGCGATATACATCGGACAAACATCTCGAGAAATCAAAATCAGAAGAAATGAACACCGTAGAGCATCTGTTCGACCACCAAGAAATCCGTTTGAACTGGAAATACTTGAAAAATCATCAGCCATAGGTCTAAACGCTACGCTATAGAATCAGGTCACAAAATTGATTTTGACAATATTGAAATAATCCAGAAAAACTTCAGAAATCATAGAGAACGTCTAATATCAGAAGCACTTAGTATCAAGTGGAATCCAAATTGTCTGAATGGGAATGATGGACTAAAACAGAATCTGACCTGGTTACAACACCTCCCTCCCCTCCTCCATGAAGTGACAAAATCAACACGAATGTGATATGCAAGTTCACTATGTAAACACACACTGCCTTTATAATTTTAAACACTGATCAAATCCAACAATCTACACTTGATTTTGTTATCTATACCAAATAACCAACTTGACAACGAAAAATGACCCCAGACTAACGAACGATGATCAAGTTAGTAAACTTTATTTTGATATCCTAACAGACTTACTATTACCTTTGTTATTTGGTTTAGTTATCTTCATCGCTATTTTTACTTTCAATATGTCCCTTTAACTTGACCTATGTCTATTTTCTCACCCCCTAACTGTTTGTTATATGTATGCTGAGATTCTGTAAATTCCTGTTTAATAATACTTTGACAAAGCTATTGGCATTAAATAGCGAAACGTCAGTAAAAACAATATCGTTTTGTTTTTCATTCATTGGGAAATACAAAAGCCTTTATTATAATGAATATCATATACCCGATGCCCAAAGTTTTTCAAACTGCTAAAAAATTGAACTTGGTTTGGACATATATAATTGTACAGCTAAGTGATGAATGAATTCGCCACCGAAAAGAGACTCTTCGTTGAACTTTGTTGTTCTTATATTCATGAAATTGATTTGCTCCCTATAAAATGAAACTTTTATTTAATAACAAAATTGATTTATATATATATATATATATTCCCTTTTACCTCTGAAATACGCAGATGATATCAATGCTTCCAAGACGTGTGTTGAAATTACTGGAGTTTGTTGGCTTCTCAGGGGATCGTGTAAGTCTTAAGAACTTTGATTTTCCTTAAAAATGAAAAGGCATTTTAACTTTTTAACTGATTAACTGCTACCTCGACTGGAAGATGAAGTACCTAGACTAGCCACTTCAAGTTGTATCTATCAATTCAACTGCACTTGTGGTGGAGCGAGTTATATTGTCCGTTGCTCTAGGAACTTGATTTTTCGTGCTCGAGAACCTATCCCATTATGGCTAAGTAAAGGTGTAGTTAAAACTATTAACAGCTCGATATTAGACCATCTGGTGCAAACCGGTCACAAGGCCAGCGTAGAAGAATCCTTCTCTATAATATACCGGGTGCCTAACAAATTACCAAAATCGTCGAAGCACCGCATACTTCAAACAGCAGAGGCTATTGCAATTCGCCTCAAACAACCAGTGCTCTGTGTTCAAAAGAAACAAGTCTAGCCCCTACTACTGCCCTGGCCCTCAGTAGAAACTATTAACTCATGAATTTGTACTATTATCTTTCATAATTCTTCTGACATTCACTTTATTTTATGTTGATGCTGTTCAGCTGTAATTTATCAATATTATTGATTCGATGTTATTTAAACAACATTAATGTCGTTCATAAGACTAATTCATTCATTCATTATAATGTATATATAATTGTAGAACCTGATGATGAATTTATCGAAAAGAGTACTCTTTGTTCCGTGTCCATGCATATATATATATATATATATATACATCGATCACTCAATGAGATACAATTAAATTAAACTGAAAAGTCCTAGATAGAATGAAAGACACTCTAAGTTCTACTGCCAAATAAATTGTATCTTATTTTGTTCAGTCATTCCAAGAAGCCTATATATCTATAAATTCTATTAGCAGTGGAGTCGAGGATACACAATTTCCATCCATTTGAGACTCGTCATCTGGATGTACTTGCATTTCGCAGGGAGTGATTGTGTCTCCAGTGCTCATTGTTTTTTAAACGCCAAATTGAGACGATATCGAGATGACGAGTCCTGAATAGGAGGAAGTGTGAGTTCACCAGTTCACCTAAGTAGCTAACCACAGTTAGGGTGATTTAAATTGACTTGGCTGTCGTTCATTTGAGTCATACCAGGTGCACGACAGATGAGCTCGAGTACCAAGCGGAGTGAAACGGTTGTGTAATGTTTAGACCACTTCAGTCGTGATGGTTAGCGAGCACTGCAAGTTGATGTGAGTGGTACTCAACTACTCATCTCAGTCACTGAGTAATATGTAGAGTCATGTACTTTCATGTGAACAATTTCAGTTTCCAAAGAAAATTTTAGTGAGAATTCACTTCAGATGACGAATTTTGCTGTTCTCCGTCTGTAAACTCTAGCAGACTGTGTCACTGTTCATGAATATTCCATTCTCAGTACATTTAAAATTCCCAAATATGTACATTAGATCATAGAAAATATCAAAAAGATGGTTTCAACGACGTCATCAACTAGATTGCTATATATTTGTAGTAAATGGGTGAGAAAGCTCCAGAATTACTTTCTTCCAGTCATGGGTCAAATTAATAAAATTACAAAGTGTAATAAACAGGAAGATTGGATAAGAGTGGTAATAGGATAATCAGTATTGAAAGAATCAGCTTTTTATGATGACCATGGTAAGGGCAACGGTTAGACGTATTTCTATTGAATACACAGCGTGGATCGCTACTGCCTCAACTATTCCCAGCCAGATGCCTTGATTTCACTCCCTTTAAGAGGTTTGATCGGATCTTGTGTATGACTCTGAAGAAATGGACCTGAATGTCACGAATTTTTACAAGATGTTCTGTTACCGAAAGCAGCTGAACGAATCGAAGGAAAGTGAGAACTTGATAACGACATGGAGAGATGGAAGTTCTGGAATTGTCCTGCTGAGCAATAAGAGAATATCTTGTGAATTCAGGATATTCAGCTCCTTCCATTTGGATAGTCCTTCAGAAGTATACATACAAGATTCGATGAAAGCTTTCAAACGGAATGAAATCGTGGCATCTAGGAATAGCCGACTAACATTCATATTATAAACTAAACCTCAAAACTTCATCTTTTATTGTGTTCTGTTTTTTCAAACATTATGTATCGATCTTAATTCCTGGTTATGTTCATGCTAACAGATGGGTAGAGTAAGCTTCGATCCATTAACGCTTAATACTGACTGACAACAGAACTTTATTCTCACAAAGGTGAATCACTAACTCACGCATTTGTTCTATTTATACCATTGAAACTATTATCTACAAAGTTTACTTCAGGTTTCTTAAACTGGTCAAAAGTTTTCTTGTCTTATCTATGTAAATAAAGGCAAAGCAATATCTAACTATGCATGTGTTGAGGTCAAAATGTTCTATGTGATAATGAGTATAGAGTTTAAAACACGCGCGGATAACAAAGTCAGTGACCGTAAATTCTAAAAATGGTGAAAACCACCATGTTCAATTGCCATTATAACCAAAGAAAAAGTTGTGTTACAGGATTGCATCATGAACTGGCATCAGTTAGAGAACCAGGTGTTTCGTCCCACTTTGGGACTCATTTTCTGCGTACTGACGCAGAGTCTCGAGTTAGGACAAAACGGTTGTCAGCCCATGATGGAATTCTGTAGTCATTTCAATGAAATTCCTGCAAACCAACCCTTGAATAACAAAATTTATTTCACTATGTCTAAATATAACGCTAAGTCAACTTAGATTGTGTTTTTTCCCCATCTCAATCAAGTTTATCATTGGATGAAAGTGTAATACCAATCAGAGATAGGCAAACGAGTACATGAGACAGTCATTTAAGTAGATGGACTGTGCATTGATTGATTCTTATCCCTGCAGTGATTTGTACAGTATTGTCAGATAATAGAAGTTAATTGGTAGGAAGGTCTAGACCTAGGTTCCATGCTTGGCATCACTCGTGTGGAAGGGATATTTTTAGCCCTGAAGGAATGGGATAAGTTTGTACATCCGACGTGTATTCATCGCCTTCTACCTCATTTGGGAATCACCAGCTGGATTTACTTGAAGCCCCACTGAGCATTAATGTGTTGTAATGAAAGTCGAGACCAGCAGCTATCAATTCAAACTTCAAAGGAGTATTTAATAGACCAATTCAGCAAGTTTTAGTGACTTGATCTGACAGTCGTGACCAGTAGGGTGCAGCAGGTCGGGTGTGAGGACAAATACTCGCCGAAGACATTGATTAGCGGTTGCGCTATATTGTGAATTGGCAGAAGTTAGAATTCACAGGCCATTGGATCGGGTCCCAGTGGCTTAATGGTATATGAGCTCGCCTTGTAACCAGAAGGTCCTGGGTTCGAACCCAGGTGGGTGCGTACTGACGAAGAGTCCCAAACTAGGACGAAACAGCTGTGCAGCACTACCAAGTTTTCCAATGATTCTCTAATCACTGTCAGCTCATGATGAAATCCTGTAACTGATCTGACACCTGTTAAACATTTAGACTCGGTGATTGATCACCTTCAAATGTGTAGTGTGGTGAGTTTTATTTTGGTTCGCTTAAATTCCCACATTTTAGCAGTGCCTCCTCAGTTGTCCAAGAGTATTGATTGATGTTACTTTGCAATCATGGATACTAGTACAAAGAAGGCATCTAATTTGCCATTGGATTTGGTCCCAAGGATTGATTAGTCTGTGAACTCACCTTGTATCCGTAAATGTGTTCAAAACCCAATGGGTGCGTAACACTGAGGAGTCCCGAACTAGGATGAAATAGATAGCTGTCCAGTTATCCTTGTTTGGTTTTTCAGTGCTTCTCTAACTAGAAACATTTATTTCTCGATACGAATTTGAAACAGGCAACAAGAGTTAGCAAAGCAGGATTTAATGAATTCATCACATCTTGGTAGAGCCACTCTTCAGCTGGATACTCTAAACACAAGGATATAAAATTAAGATACATTACGGTTCAACTAAATCAACTAAATAGACAATTAGTCATCAGCGAGTGAAAGAACTTGAATATATCAAGAATTGCTGACTAAATAATATTGACAATAATAATCAATAATAATGTTAAAATGAGTTATGGAAAATAGTAATGATAAAAGATAGTTGGGTGACATGGGTTCGAATCTTAGAAGGAACATGAGTTCCTTCAAGGCTGCAGGTATGCCTTGTTGATGAGTGCCAACTAGCATGAAATCTAGGTGAGGCAAGACTTCCCGCCGATTGCCTCCAACCATCTAATAATACTAACGATAAAAGATAGTTTTAAATGAATTAGAAATAGTAATAATAAGACGTAGAATAAAGTAATATTAATAAGTAAAACATATTACCATGGTAGATTAAGACTGGTCAGCATTTCTTTTTGTGCACAGACACATGGTTGGTTTGTCGACTGACAACAGTGAATGACTACTTCACAGTGAATCAATATCATGTCCGTAGTTCACAAGTTGCTTTGTGATTGAACTTTTAGGCACTTTGACTTCATCGATTCTCAACCAACTTAGCAAATGCACCAGATAATCACCTTTCTGTACGACCTATGTGTTGGCTTCCACAAACACACTCAAATTGATATAGGCAGTTTGAAGTCTGTCAAGGTTTGTTGACTGGTTATTCTCAGTTTGTGGAAGTACTTACTTTGTGGTGTTAAGGAAGACGAGTTTTGCAGCATAATAAGTTTTCTTGATAGATTTCTTGAGTCTTTGTTTGACTACTTCTTGTACATCATCTCCTTTCAATGGCGAATAGTGTTGTGAATAAGTTCTTTTTATTTTCAAGTATTGGTTTTGTAGGGATTTTTGTTTGATTGGTTGGAGGATTTCATCATTAGCTGACATCATTGTTAGAGAACCGTTGGAAAACCAACGCCAGACTATTGGACAGCTGTTTTGTCCAATTTTCGGAATCCTCATCAGTAGGCGCCCACTCGGGTTCGAACCCGGTGGTAGAAGTTAGATTCAGGGGCCATTTGATCCTAAGTTCCTACCAAGGTGCTGGGTTCGAACCTGAGTGGGCGGGTACTGTTGAAGAGTCCCAAATTAGGATGAAGGAAACAGCTGTCCAATACTCCAACGTTGGTTTTCCAACGGTTCTCTTACACTGATGTCAGCTCATGATGAATTCCTCCAACCAAGTTTATTTTATATTGGATTGGAACAAACCTTTTAAAATACATGTACTGTCCTATCCATGAAGATTTTCTAAATATAGATCTTTCTATTGTACCATCAGTCTTTTCCAACTTGTGATTAAATCTGTAGTCAATCAAATCCCATTAAACTAACACCTGATGGAATAGTTTTTTCTCAGAGTTCATGTAATCTATCGTATGAACTGAAAATAAAAAGCTTTGTAATTGTTATTAAACCATCTAGTTCAGAGAATGCAAACATACCGAAAATCAATCATCTGAGTTATAAATCTTCTCCATCATTTCGCTAACAGAATAAATACCCAGTAAATAACACATGCTCCGGGTTTGATTTACACCTGACACATCAACTTCCAAACTTCACCTTGCTAGCCTGCGGTAAGCTCGGTAAAGATGGAAGATTAGGCATGTGCTGCTAGCAACCCCATCCCGTTAGGTAACACGACCGTTACCAAGATTTCAAGCTTGAAGTCAAATGTTCAACTCGGGGGAAGCGAAGAAGTTTAGAAAAATGTCATTTACAGTTGAGTCAGTCAGCACCTTACTTACTGCTTAGCGAATTACAACAGGATCATCAGTTGCGGCAATATTCTAGGGTATATTCTGCTGAATTTCTTCAACTGCATATAGAGAAACGTGATGTTACCCACAGAAACCATAGATTACTCAGCTTAACTGAGTAATTGTTTCATCTTGCATGGTATATTTATCCATGATAAAGGTTCTCAGAAAATCAACCAATGTTACTCGTTTTGTGGTGACCAGCAGTAGAATCCAGAACACGAATTTCGTCCTATTTGTGACTCGTCATCTGAATGTGATTGTGTCCCTCGATGAATGATACCTATTTCCACCGGGACCGAAACCCGTCACTAATCGTTTCAAATGGCAGGGCATTATCCAATTGGCTATTTAGCCACTAGTGTCACCTCCTGTGAAATTGGTGTAACTAAGAGTGATCTACCTCATTTTGGTGACTGCAAGTCTTTGGTTTAGAAGTTCAACGCTTGTCAGTCACGTAGACGGCCCATGTTCAAGTCCTGAATGACACGATTTCAAACCCTACCTGGTTTGCAAGCCAATGAATGGTAATCTTGAACTAAAGGGAAAGTGGTTGTGTGAGCGTAACAACTCCCACCCAATGAAACCAACACCACCTTTGCTGAAACTTCAAAATCTCAAACTCCCATATTCTGCTCCGAATGTTATTTTTTCTATTGCATTATGTTTTGTTTCTCACAGCAATTTGGCTTGGAACAACTTCGATTGGGTGCACAAATGCATGATTCACTACGTGGTCCACTATGTGCTTTATTATTATTATCCTACGACTTGTATGCTACTCATATGCTTGGTAAGTAGTATGTTGGTAGTTTGAAACATTTCTGATTTGTTTTGATGTGGTTGTGTTCTCTGAACTGGATAGTTGATAGGTAGCTCAGAGAACACAACCACATCAAATTATCCACCTGAGCTACAAATCTTCTCTATTATTTCTGATTTGTGTTACACTCCGTCACGAACCAACATTAGTTAATTAGAGATCACTGAAGACTAGGGAGCACTAGTCATCTGTCTCGTCCCAGTTCGAAACGCTTCCTCTCTGTCTCTACACAGCACTCCAATAGTGACCAAACAAGGATTTTCAGGTTATGAGATCGCATTCAGCCTATTGCTAGCCCAGGTAGAAACTTCTCCAAATCCCTGTAAATTCTTTAGTCTGAATACTGAATTCAAGCCCACGGAATCATATACCAGTCATAATTTTAGTCAAATAAAAAGTGTAGAACTCCAGAAACTACATCCAGCAGTCAGTTACCAGTGGCTGTCAAATGAATTTTGAAGGTCATGGGTTCAATCTTAATTCAATGGGGTCATGGTAGTACGAAATAACTGTATAGTACTCCCTCAAGCTTTGAATGGTTCTCTAAGTGATACAATTTTATGATTTCACTAGAAATCGAATGAAACCCTGCACACCAACGCTTGAAAAGTGATCACAATAATTACTGGTAACTGATTACCTGAAGTAGTTGCCTTTAGCTCTAGTCAGAAGTAATGAGCAGTGGAAACCACCTTGTCCGGTTTGGGTACAGATAACCTCCAGTAGCAGTGAGAAGCGATAGCGCTATATATGGCGAATTCAGTCGGGAGTGAGGATAAATATTCGCCAAAGACATTGGCTGGTGATGGTGCTAAAATCATGAATTAATAGAAGTTAGAATTCATGGGCTGGGCACTGGGTTGGGTTCCAGTAACTGAAAGGTCTACAGATCACATCCTCACAAACTAACTCTTGAGAACCGATGAAATTTAGAGTTCATACGCCACTAGATTCTATCCTGGCGGATAAATGAACTTTGGCTTGCCTCGTAACCTGAAAATCATGGGTTCATTCCCGTAAACTCTGATAGGTGCATACTGTTACAGAAGAGCAGTAAACAGGGACAAAACAAGTCTCAAGTACTACCTGGTCTTCCTTGATTCTCTAACGAGTATCTTTTTGTGACCTGGTATCATATTTGAGAACAAAGACTTGAAGACTAATCCATTGAAGAATTTTAGGGGTTATTAAACAATAAAGGAGGGATAATGAAGGAGATGGGAGGAACAAGAAAGCACACAAATAGTGTAGTACGATAATTTAAGTTTTGCTTGAAACTTAAGTTAGGGAAGCCAGAAATAAGGGATAGTAATAGTGTGATGAAAGCTGTCTGCAAGCCAATATGATAGACAACAATTTACGTCAATGTTTACGTCCCGGATCGGGTTCATGAGTGAAAAACAAACAATAACAGAGCTTAACCTTGAGGAACTCAACAACCAATCACAGTAGACTTAACGTGTGCAAATACGATTCGCAGATATATGGCTCAACTTTCTAAGAAATGGCCACAAGCAGTACAGAATAACCTTCAGCAAGAAAAAAAACCAATCAGAAGAGGTTGCGTCTCAACTGATAATAATGTTCATAAAAATCTATAAATATCTGTTGATTTTGTCAATAAACGATCTGTTGCCTGGCTCTTGTCTTCTGTCGTTACAACAGAGCCACATCAGGTTAAATACACTGATCTAAATCATTCACAGGTGTTTGCCAATGCTCAGAATAGGTCTTCAGTTGAAATGTTGTTGCAATGAACAATAACTGTGTTCTTTAACTCACTTGTGCATATTTATTGGTGTCTACAGCCGACTGGCTGACTCATATGAGTAGTAGTGACTACTAGACGGATCCCGGTGATTCAAACAGTGCACTGCCATTTCTCTTCTTTTGGGGCAAATCACATCAGCGGTGTATGCAGTTTCACTCAACTAAAACAGAGCTGCAAAAAAGAGACATGTTTTAGTTATTATTATTATTGTTCCCTTGGATTCCTAGTGGAACATAGGGCTTCAACTGCACGTCTCCACTTGCTTCTGTCTTCTGCTGTACTTTTCACCTGCATCCATGTTAGTCCATACTGTTTCAACTCCTCTTCACACGATCACCTCCATGTCACTCTTGGGCGTCCCACTCACCGCTTCCCTTTCGGGTTCCACTCGAGCTATGGCCTGACGCGGGATGTCACCCAACGGCCTCCTCAGCGAGTGTCCAATCCATCTCCCCTTTCTCCTGAATATTTGTTGGGCGATTGGTTCTTGTTTCGTTTGTTCCCATAGTTTCTTGTCGGTGATTCTTTCTGGCCATCTGATCTTCAGTATAGAGCAAAGACAGTTGTTGATAAAGGTCTGAAACCTACTGGAAATATTCTTAGTGACGCGCCAAGTTTCTGGTCCGTATAGAAGAACTGACTGACTTGACGTTTGTATTGAAAATCCGAATCATTTTGTTGTTGATGCTGAGTTGAATGACGAAGATTTCCAGATTGGTTTCAGGTTGATGAATCTGTTTCTCGCCTTCCCGATTCTCGCTCGATTTGACATCCTCGTCCGTTCCTGTCTCCTGTAGTTGAGACAATGCTCCCTCCCTGGATAATTGAATGAAGTAACCTCTTTCAAATCCCATCCGTTGATGGCGATTGTCGCTGGCTGTTGGTGTTGTTGTTGTTGTTGGTTGGTTATTTTCACAATCTCCGTCTTGTCTATGTCTTTGCTGCTTCTTCGACCAGTTTGTCGGTTTTCGCTTGTAAGTCTTCCATTTAGTGTGAAATCAAACATAAATCATCCACGAAATCCAGGTCTTCTGGATTCTTCACGTCGGTCCAGGATATCCCTGTCTTCTCGTTTCCCACTGTCTGACGCATAAGCCAGTCCACGACAATTGGTAGTATCATTGGTGATAACAAGCACCCTTGTCTGAGTGCTTATTGACATGTTTTAGTGATAATAACGAATTATTATCACCTATGCTACTCCTGATTGTGGTGGACTGGACCATGCAGAGGACTGTACGTGGGAAGCGGGAAGAGAGGAGTACATTGGGCCGATAAAAAAGCTTCAGAAGATCTGGATTTTGCGGATGACTTGTGCCCAGTATCACACAAATCTGAAGACTTACCGACGAAAAACAACAAATTGAAAGAGTAAGCAGACAAAAAAGATAGGACTTCAAGTGATGAACACAAAGAAGACAGTAGTGATGAAGATAACCAACCGAGAACAACAAGCACTAATAACTATTAACGGAATACATTTGAACGAGGTCGTTTCCTTCACTTGCCTCATAAGAAGCACGATTCCAGCTGCAGGTGACAGCATGGATGACAATGTCGGAAGCAGAGTCGGAAAGGTAGGACAAATCTTCATCACCCTGAGTGTTCAGTTTGGAAACCTGCTTCACTCAGGATAAAGAGCAAGATTCGGATTCTCAGCACAAATGTTAAGTCAGTCACCTCTTCTATCTGTCTGTCTGTCTGTCTGCATTCAACATAGAACTTGGCACCGAAGTGCAGCAGTTCAACTTGCCACGTTCCAAATAGCACACAAAGGTAGACAAGAAAATGAGTGAAGAGAATCAATAGAGTTTTGACAAGTATAAGAGTGAAACAGAATGAGTAACGGTGGAAAGGAATATGAAAGATTACAGAGACTGAATACATCTGCGTAAGCCATTGACAACGATGAGTTTGAGCCATGTCACCTATTGTCTCCAGCCATTGATTCTTAGAGTCCCGAGGGCCCCAACCCGGAAGTCTGCATCTCCCTACCTGACTCAGTTTAACTGTCAGGGATTTCATGGATTGATGAGGCCATGTTTTTGTTTGGCCACCACTTAATCTTTTCCAACCTGCACCTATATCAGCTAGTAATGCCCGTCGGAAGGGGGGGGGCGATGGTTAGGCATGCTCAACACGTGACCTATCCATCTCAATCAGCTCTTCTATATGAATGATAGACTTGATGCGTCGCTAAGAGCATTTCCAACAGACCAGTTAAGACTTTTATCAGCAGTGCGACATAGGGGAGATCGTGTGAGAAGGAGATGAGAGAAGACCTTTGTTTCACTCGGAATCCAATGAAATAAAAATAGTATTTCTTACTCAGTATAGAAGCGAACAAGTAGAAGGACGGTTAGGAGCATTTAAAAATAAATAACTCAGTAAACTGGTAGCTCCTTTGAGTATACACACACAGTTGTCGATATCCAACAGTCCTTGTACTGTTTAGTTTCATTTTGTGGATAATTATTTTTGAAAGGAGGACTTCGGTGGCGCTTTTTGGCCTGATTTCACCTAATCTTTGAAAACTCAGTTGACTAATTTACTTACTTTGCCTAATTTCTGAAAGATGTTTGGAAAGCATGTACTTTGTGCGGCCAATACACCACCACTTGCCTCAAATGAGGAGGTGAATATTAAAAGAAACACTTTGCAGCAGCCCAAAGCTGCATTTTGATTTTGCGTTATTACTATTACTCTATATGGTTGACACATTTGATAAATGAGGTTCCCGTTTAAATTGTCCCTCATTTTTCACTGTTTCTTACTGTGTTCTTTTTTTCTGCTTTTTTGTCTACAGGTGACAGCGTTGTAAGTGTATGTAAGTGAAGCAAAATATTTTTCCCCTTGTGATTTATATTTTGAATCGATTAAAGATGCTCGTTAAAAATGTCAAGAGACTGATTAGTAGCTTACAATGAATATTCTACTCGATAATTCCCTCTTCATCAGGTTCTTCACTTATATGACCAACATTAATGCTGTAATTGAATTTTGGATTCTCCCGACGATTGATTGGACTGAAGTGCTCAGTCTCAGTCCCCATCCACATATTAAATTCTAATTAAATGCCCAGACATCGTCGAAGCATCTGCAGAAACAGGGGCCAACATGTCAACCTGAGACCGAGCACTTCGGTCCAATCAATCGACGGGAAAATCCAAAAAATTCAATTAAATAAGTAATATGACCCGTTGCACAAGAAACATTGGCTCTCGTGGCTCAAGTGGTCTAGTGGGTAACGCTTCGGTGTTTGAAACTGTGAGCACGGGATTCGAGCCCCAGTGGGAACATCATCACTCACTGGGAAATGCAGGTATATCCAGCCAGCAACGAGTTCCAAATAGGACGAAATGCGCGTTATCCTAGATTTCACTGCTAGTCACCATCCACAAATTAAACATTAATGCTGTTTTAAATTACACTTAATCAATGAATGAATAATTTTGTGGGATCCGGGTTGCAGACTTCGTTCTATTTGGGACTGACTCGTCAACTAGTGGATAAACATGTATTCCTTAGTGAGTGATATCGTTCTCACTGACGTTCGAATCTTATACCGACAGTTATTCACTAGACCACTTAAGCAATGAAAGACACCTCTTGTACAACGTGTATCGGTTATTATTTAGTTCCCTTTTAGACGTTCCAATTGATTGATTACAATGAAGTCGTCAGCTTCTGTTGACATGTATGGACACTTGTGTGAAAGTATTAACAACGATGTTCCGCAGATTTAGCCTGTTGTACAAGAGATATCTCTTGTGGTCCGAGTGGATAACACTATGGCGTTCAGTGGGAACGTTCAAACTGAATTGAATAATACGATGAAAAGAGTACAGTTCAAAGGTATCTGTAAGCGCAATATGGCTTGAAATTAAGTCACGCGTAAATAAAGGCTATCCTGGTCCAGAACAAACAAGAAGCCGGTCACTGTTTCTACGGTACTATTAGTAAACAAATCAATAATTATATATACAACAAACCTTAACGGTTTCAAGAGTACAAAACACAATGCTTAACAGAAAGCAAGGCGCAGCTATCAGAGCGGAATAACGTTAAAGCCGAAATTGCGAACTAGCCGGAATCAGACACGACCGTTCAGGTAAGCAGTCAGTAGAAGAATGAACCCAAGTAAGGCAGGGCATAGAACAGAGAGCGGTTAAGAGATAGACAGAGCATAGGCACAAAGATAGAATTTGATTGGCTACTTAACCAGGTAGGCTGATACAGATGAAGATCAATAAATAAGATAAACTCGACAGAATAGTACAATGTAAGACATGGGTCAGCAAAATAACAGTTCACAAAATACTCTGATTGGGTCATGAGTTCAACGGTCTGACTAAACGCATCGATGTAAACACACACACACAGTTCATTAAACAAGGAGGGATAGAGACGCTAGGCATGGATAATTGGGTTGCAACAACGCCAGGCTGATCCGGAACAGGTTGACTTGATTAAGGGTGCGAATTGAATTGATCTTACAGTATCTATAAGTGATAATATGCCTTAGTTTAACACAAAAGTGAATATCAGATAAATTTAGGAAAGTAATGAAGATCTTATGAATTTATTGATTCCCCCAGCAGGCCAGAAAGGCAATACTGACTCGTCCTGTTTCTTTTGCATACAAAGCTAGACGCTTACAGTTCCGGTAGCAGTGGTGTTTACTTTTACGATTTAGGGTTGCTAGCCTCATGCTCAACCTTCCTTCTTTACTACTCTTATTACTGGTATAGCGAGGTAAAGGAGTGCGTCCAGTGGCCGGGGATTGAATCACGTTGGTTCCTATTTTAAATATTTACAATCTTCTGATTGGCAATTTCCTGTCAATCTTGAGAAAAAGCATAATTGTGGTTGACAGTGGGTCTATCCGACTACATGAGATGACCATTACTCAGTTGTGTTCTTGGTTCGCCAAATGTACTCCTGAACCTATTATAATTGGCAATTAACAAAATGTTGTCGTGTTTTTCTCCAAGGAGACAGAGAAGAGATGTTGTAATGGATTGGTTTGACCTCCAGGTCACTTGATCTGCTGTCAATTAACATTTTATTTCAAGCTGCTCGCGGACGAAGAGAAAATATGGTGCAATAAACTCCTCTGGGAGTTCTGTACATTATAATACAAACACTGTTCAGAATAAAACTAGTACTATTAGTGTTACAAAAGTCATCCGGATTTCAAATCCCAGCTGAGAGACACTCTGAAACCTCACACAGCCGATGATAGTAAGACTGATGAAGTTGAGAGGCTGGACGTGAAATTAATAACCCCCACCCGCTAGGTAGACAACACGGTTACTGAAACGTCAAAGCTTATGCTGGAAGCCCTACGTTGCTCTCTGAACACAAAGGAATAAAACTTTAAAAAAATCCTTAAGATACTCAGAAATCTCAAACATCCCGACAGAAATGCTTCCGTCTGTCGTTTAAATTGTAGTCACTCACACACCAACTTCAGTCAAGTACAAATAAACATTATATACACTGAGGAACTCGTTGTTGCCCTCTAAAAAAATTGTGTTTCTTTTTAAAAAAACGTTTTTTCAGCTTGTGAACAACCAGAACATTTAAAAGAAGCTCGTGAACTGTTAGATCAATGGTCAGTGGTCTATCCTAAAAGTGCTATATTCCTTCTGCTGGCTGGTCGATTAGAAGAAATATCAGGAAATTTGAAAGCGGTAATTAATTAATTCCCATTAACAAATGGTTTTTCTTTTACTTGATAAAATATTTGACTTTATTATCTAACCACTGGGAGATTAGAAAGTTTATTATTATTATTGTTTCCTTTAATTCCTAGAGGAACATAGGGCTTCAGCCGTGCGTCTCCATTGCGTTCGGTTCTCTGCTAGAGTCTTCACCTGGCTCCAAGTCTGCCCACACGTTTTCATCTCCTCTTCACATGACCTCCTCCAAGTCACCCTCGCACTGACGACCAACTCGCCGCTTCCCTTTCGGGTTCCACTCGAGCAATGGCTTGTCTAGTGATGTCACTTGATGGTTTCCTCAGAGTATGACCAGCCAATCCATCTCCATTTCTTCCTGCCTATTTGTTTCACAATCGGTTCCTGCTGTGTTGGTTCGCTCATTGCCAGAGATCTCTGTTGCTGATCTTTTCTGGCCGGCCATCTGATCTTGAGTATTGAGCGAAGACAACTGTTAATGAAGGTCTGTAGTTTGTTTGAGATGCTCTTTATGACGCGCAGTGCAAGTCTCTGATCCGTATAGTAAGTGGCACTGACTGACTTCACATTGGAGTTGAAAATCCGGATCTTATTTTTGATGCTGAGTGCTGTTGACCTCCACACAGACTTGAGAGTAGTGAAAGCTTGTCTTGCTTTTCCGATTCTTGCTTTGATATCCTCGTCAGTTCCGTCCGCCTGTAGTTGAAACGATGCTTCCCAGGTAGGTAAAAGAGGTTGTTTCTTTCAGGTTCCTCCCATTTATGCTGATTGTTGTCAGTTGTTGTTGTTGTTGCTGTTGATGGTGTTGCCCAGGAATCTTCATCACCTCTGTTTTATCTATGTTCACCTGAAGTCCTATCTTTGATGCTTCTTCTGCTAACTTGTTGCTTTTCGCTTGCATATCTTCCAGTTTGTGGGAAATCAGACATATATCATCGGCGAAGTCCAGATCCTCCAAGTTTTTTGTGTGAGTCCATTTTATGCCTGTTTCCTCATTGCCCGCTGTTTGTCGCATTATCCAGTCTACTGCAATCAAGAAAATCATTGGCGATAGTAGGCAGCCAGCTTGTCTTACTCCTGTCCTCACTTCGAAGGATTCCGTAAGTTTCCCGTTGTGGATTACTTGGCATGCAGCATTGTCGTATAGCTGTTGGATGAGATGTATTATTGTCGGTGGCACCCCGTAGTAGCGAAGTAGTTTCCAAATCACCTCTCGATCGACGCTGTCAAAGGCCTTTTCAAAGTCGATGAAGTTGAGATAGAGAGGTGACTGCCACTCTAAGCTTTGCTCAATGATGATCCGTAATGTGGCGATCTGGTCAATGCATGACTTGTTCCTCCTGAATCCAGCCTGTTCCGGTCGAAGTTTTTCATCCAGGGCATGTTTGATTCTCTCCAGGATGATGCGGCTTAGTATTTTGCTTGGGATGGACAGGAGCATAATTCCGCGCCAGTTCTTGCATTGACTTAGGTCTCCTTTCTTTGGTAGTTTGAATAAGTAGCCTTTCTTCCAATCCTCGGGTACTTTGCCTTCTTTCCACACCTTCTCCAGTAGTGGCGTCATCAAGTCCGCTGTTGTCTCCGGGTCCGTTTTCAATGCTTCTGCTGGGATTCCATCTGGTCCTGCTGCTTTTCCAGCTTTTAGCATCTTGATTGCCTTCAGGACTTCTGATTTCGTCGGGGGGTTGGTGTTCACTGGTAGCTCTGTCTCCGTTGTTGGTATTGCTGGGCGCGTTGTAGGTGGTGGTCGATTTAGGAGTCTTTTGAAGTGTTCAGCCCAGTGTTTCCTTTGCTCCACTTCTTTGGTGAGTGACTTTCCATTGTCATCCTTCACCGGCTTGATTTGTGTCAAACGTTTGCCCGATAGGTACCTAGTAGTTTGGTAGAGTGTTGCGAGGTCTCCTTTGCCTGCAGCTTGTTCTGCTTCACTTGCCATGGTTTCATAGTACTTTCTTTTGTCTTCTCTGGCACTCTTCTTTACTCTTTTGTTCAGTGTCTTGTAGCTTGCGTTCAAATCCTGTTTTTGTTGCTCATCGGTGCACTGGAGAATCTTTTGTTTCACCATCCCTCTCTCTTCTATTAGTCTCCAAGTGTCCGTAGTGAGCCATTGTTTGTCCTGTCTCTTCTTTCTGCCTAGAACTTCCATGCAGGTTTGACTCCATACTGTCTTCAAGTTGTTCCAGTGCTTTTCGACGCTGACCTCTTCGCCAGTGTTGATTTGTGTCTCGGCTTTGTCTTTTATACTTGCAGTGAAGATGTCCTTTGTGTCCTGGTCCTTCAGTTTTTGAGTGTTGAACTTGGCTTGTGGTCTATCTGCAGCTCCTGATTCTCTGAAAGCTTTTAATTTGATTTGGATTGTCCCTTGTACGAGATAGTGGTCTGAGCCAACGTCTGCTCCTCTTCTTACTTTTGTGTCCAGCAGGCTGCGCCTCCACTTCCTTGAGATTGAGATGAAGTCGATTTGGTTTTTGGTTCGCCCATCTGGTGACACCCATGTAGCTTTGTGGATATCCTTGTGTTTGTATACGCTGCCACCAATCACTAGTTCATTGAAGGCACAGAAGTCGGCGAAGAGTTCTCCGTTTTCATTCATTTCTCCGAGAGCTTCTCTACCCATGATGAGTTCCCTTCCTGTGTTATCTGATCCCAGTTTGGCGTTCATGTCTCCCATTAGTATTTTGATGTCACCAGCTGGAGTATTGTCCATTGTTGTCTGCAGTTGTCTGTAGAATTCTTCTTTCGTTTCGAGGTCTGCGTTGTTGGTCGGTGCATAGCATTGTATAATTGACACTTTCCTTCCTTTGGAGTTGAATCTGGCGGTTATTATCCTGGGCGAGATCGCCTCCCATTGCATCAGGGCCTTCGTTGCCGTTGGTGACATCATGATAGCCACGCCCTCGGTGTGCGAGTGGTTATCTTCTGGGTGACCGAAGTAGATCACTGACTCACCCGTTGACAATTTGGTGAGTCCATTCCCGTTCCATCTGCTTTCACATATTCCCAGTACTTGAATTTTGTATCTTTTCATTTCGTTTGCGATCTGGGCAGCTTTGCCAATCTCGTACATAGTACGGACATTCCATGTCCCCACAAAGACTTTTTCTTTTGTCTCAAGGAGATATATCGTGCTGAAGTTTCTGTAGCAGGTTTGTTTACAGGGTGGGGTTGCTAGCCTCACGCCTGAGAAGGGGGATTGTTACATCAATTTATAATTTAGAGAGAAGCGACCTTGTGGGTTGCTCCCCTTAAAAACCAGGAAAACAAGGAATAAACAAGCAGAAAAACACCAGCACGGGAAAATAATTCACAACAAGAAGGGTAACAAGCGACAACAACAATAATAATATCACAGTCAATTGCAGTTAACCAAAATGATACCAAAATCATAGACTCACTGACTTGAGCCAACTTGAACATGTAAATCCATCAATATATAGGTATTATAGGTATTAGTTAGTGTTAATCAAGCACAGAGTGGCAACAAATAGTTATAGGTGTTATTGATATACAATATTATATCCAAAGATTCAGTGTTTCAAAGTCAAATAATTGTAAAAGTTTTTCGCAACTTTTTGATAAGATATTCCACAAAAATCAGAGTTTTATGTAACTAAGCAAATGTAGCGCAGTTTTCCAATTACTATTAACAACTGGTATTTTCTTTTACTTGGTAAAATATTTGACTTTATTATGTAACCACTGGGAGATTAGAAAGTTTATAAGTTTGTATTATTTTTGGGTAATCTTATCCACTGACGTCTGTTAAGCATATATAACAAAGCCCAAGCAAGATTGATGAAAAAGTAGGACAGGCGTTCATCGCCACTGTCAGCACAGGCAACACAAGAGATTCGAATTTCCACCACCACCAATGTAAAGTTGTCTTCCAGTCTCTACTACATATAAATATATATATATATATGTCCAAACCAAGTTCACTTTAAACCGTTTGAAAAAATTTGGGCATTGGGTATATGATATTCATTATAATAAAGGCTTTTGTATTTCCCAATGAATGAAAAACAATACGATCTTGTTTCTACTGACGTTTCGCTATTTAATGCTAATAGCTTTATCAAAGTATAAATTAAACCGGAATTTACAAAATCTCAGCATATATATAACAAACAGTTAAGGAGTGAGAAAATAGACTTAGGTCAAGTTAAAAGGACATATTGAAAGTTAAAGTACCAATGCAGATCACTAAACCACGTAACAAAGGTAATAGTATGGTGTGGACAAGGTTGTTTCGTAGTGTATCTGATGTTTTAAAGAAAACTCTAATGTCCATATAACAGACCAGATCCCTAAAGATTCTCTATATAATTGCGTCTATAAAATAAAATGCTTGGAATGTGATGCGATATATATCGGACAAACATCTCGAGAAATCAAAATCAGAAGTAATAAACACCGTAGAGCATCTGTTCGACCACCAAGAAATCCAATTCGACTGGAAAAACTTGAAAAATCATCAGCCATAGGTCGTCAACATGCTATAGAATCAGGCCACAAAATTGATTTTGACAATATTGAAATAATCCAGAAAAACTTCAGAAATCATAGAGAACGTCTAATATCAGAAGCACCTCATATCAAGTGGAATCCAAATTGCCTGAATGGAAATGATGGACTAAAACAGAATCTAACCTGGTTACAACACTTCCCTCCCCCATGAAGTGACAAAATCAAAAAGAATGTGATCTTCATTGTTATTCTGTCTTTCAGTGTGTCCTTTTAACTTGACCTAAGTCTGTTTTCTCACCCCTTAACTGTTTGTTATATATATGCTGAGATTTTGTAAATTCCGGTTTAATAATACTTTGATAAAGCAATTAGCATTAAATAGCGAAACGTCAGTAAAAACAATATCTTTTTGTTCTAGGATATATAGTTCATTTGTGTGGTGTGCATGTCACCGGAAGCATTTCTAACAGGCCAATGCAGATTTTCATCCACAGCGGTACCGTTTGTTCAGAAACCAAAGATTAGATGATCAGAAAGGAAGATAAACACTAAGGATCTGTGGCAGTGAACCAGCTGACAACCAGCACACATCACCACATTTTCCTATCTTCTGCCGTCCTCGTCAGCTTGGTCTACGATTGCCCATAATCTCTTATCTACTCCTCCTCACACGATCTCCTTCACGTCACCCTCGCATTGACGAACTACTAGTCGCTTACCATTTGGATTCCACTCGAGCAATGGCCTGAATTGCACGCAATGTCATTCAGCGGCCTCCTCAATGTGTATGCCCGACCAATCCACCTCTATTTTCTCCTACATATCTGTTGAGCGATCGACTCTTGGGTGGTTTGTTTCTTGTTGTTTATTCTTTCTGGCCGACCATTTGATCTTCAGTAGGGAGCCAGCGAAGGCAGCTGTTGATAAATGTCTGCAGTAGCCTGTTGAAAAATCTCTCGTGACACCCAGTGCAAGTTTCTGACTCGTATAGAAAGAACCAACTTGACATTGATGTTGAAAATGCGAATCTTGTTCCTTATGCTGAGTGTAGAATACTTCCAAATTGGTTTCAGGGTGATGAAGGCATATCTCGCCTTTGCAATACTCACTGACTTAGACATCATCCGTCTCGATGTCTGTAGTTGAAACGATGCCGTCCTGAACTAGATGAGTGAAGGAAATGACCTTTGTTAAATCTCCCCCCCCCTTGATAGTGATTGATGCTGGTTGTTGTTGCTGTTGCTTTTGGTTGGTTATCTTCATCACCTCTGTCTTCTCTATGTTCACTGGAATTGCTGTCATCACTGTCAGCCAGCTTCTTCTTTCAGTTTGCTGGTTTTCGCGAACCAACTTCTTCCAGTTTGTTGGTTTTCCCCTGCCTGTGAGTCTTCCAATTTGCGTGACATTAGACATAAATCATCCACTTGCGAAAACCAGATCTTCTAGAATTTTCTTATCGGTGGTCCAACGTGCTCCTGTCTCCTCGCTCCCAAGCACAGTCTGACGCGTAATCAGTAGAAAATGCAGATGAATTGGATATAATCTTGTGAGACCGTTGAGTGACATCCGCGCATCCTCGAATAAGAAGTGACGACTTGGACAAAATTCTTAAAAACAAGTGATATCATTTTATGCATAAACCTCTGTTATATTAATTTCGATTAATTTCCTTGAAGAAGTTCGGACCAGTTTGCCGAACGCAGGAGACGCTGGGATTGCTCATTTCAATTTCGCTGAGATTTTACAAATATTAAAGTGTTTACAAATGTCAACTTCTCACATGGCGACCAACTGTTTTAGAACTGTTGCGTCAAATCTTGATCAAAGTTCATGCGAAGTTGTTGTTTACTTCACTACCAGAATTACTTCTTGCTAATATCTCTCATGTCCATCTGGTCTTCAGTAAGGAGTGAAGGTAGCTGTCGGAATTAATCTACAATGGCATGTATATTCCGAACCATATATAAGCACTGAGTGACTTCACATTGGTGTTGAGATCCCACAATCTCTTTCCTTGTTTGCTGAGTACAATCGATTTCCACATTGATTTCAGGTTACTGAAAATATGCCCCCAATATTCTGATGCTGCCTTCAACGTCCTCATTTGTTGCTCCAACCTGTAGTTGATAAGAAGATATCTACTTCAGTGGAAGTGGTAGCCTCCTTCAAATTTCTCTCGGTGATAGTGACTTGTTATTGTTGTTATTGGTCAGTGGCTAACTTCATCACATCTGCCTTCACTATATTCACCTGAAATTTTTTATTTGCTGCTACTTCTGCCCCCCCCTTTTTTTCGTTTACGGATGTGGATCTTCGAATTTATAGGACATAAGTCTTCCAGTCTTCCCATCAGTTCAACGCATTCCTTCCTTTTTAATGTTTAATTTAGTATACTACTTTGAAATGTATTAGTAGTATAAATCTGTTGGATAAAATGCTTTTGTTTTGATAACTTCTGTATTTTAGGCTATTGAATTATTTGGACGCTCAATTGATTCTCAGTCTGACTGGATTCATTATCATCATCTTTGCTATTGGGAGTTGATCTGGTGTTATGCGTAAGTTATACGAGTTTTTGAGTGTTTCCCTGTAACTGTTTAATAAACCTGATCTATTACTCACATGCGAATAACTCCAGGATGAAGTCGTCGGAAGTTGTAGTGAGAAACTGTGACCAGCAAGGTCCATCAAGTTAGATATGTAGGCAGATACCCGCCAATTAGATTCAATGTTGATTCATGGGCATTTCGATACTATTGCAGTGGTCAACAAGCTTGCCTCATAAGCTGTAGGGCTGTAAAGTTCTATCGTTCACGGTGGGGTGATGAGAGTGTACTTCTTTGTAAACTGCCTGACGTTATGACTGATGAGTAACTGGTTCCACTAGTCATGACTTCCCGCAAGAACTTCAGGCGATTTCACCTTGTAGTCAGTCACTGGTGAGTGAGCACTAGGTTAATTTCCCAGTGTCGGTTTGCAGTATTGTGATTGACTTCAATTTCTGATCAGGAATCAGCTTCACTTAGAGAGTACTGGACAGCCGTTTCGTCCCTTTTTAGGCATAAATCCGACCTAAACAAACTGGTTGGCTCTCACGAGGTGTGCAACATAGATGCCACTGAAATAGAAACCAAGTCGGAAATTAAATACCTAGGCGTCATTCTATCTGCTGATCTTTCCTGGTCGTCTCATATCTTGGCGATTTCTAAGAAAATATTCCGTCTCACCTTCTACATCAAGAAGTTAAAACATTCTGGTATAACCCAACCCTTACTCCTACAATTCGTTAACTCTCGCATTCTGCCTATTATTCTCTATTGTTCCCCCTTAGTTTTTCCCGGGCTACTGAGGAAAGACTATAACATATTACGCAGGATGTTAAAGGTTGTCAGCAGGGTAAGCAACGTGCCACTTAACCAGCTTGTTAATATTCTGGTTGACAGGCACATGGACTCATGTGAAAAATGGGCCAAATCCATTTTATCTAACTCACACCACCCTCTTCACTCACAACTCTCCCCTTGCATCTCATCAGGCAAAACCAGAAGCCTATATAGAAAACTATATGCTCGCACCAGCAAGTACAAAAACTCAACCATACCCTACTTAGCTCGTGTTCTGTGCGATAAAGAAAGCATTAGACGTGACGCCTATAATTCATTAAATAGTCAGTAGAACAACTGGATCTCGTCTTTCCAACTCATATCATTTATAGGTAGAACATTTTCTTTCTTTCTTTTCCTTTTCTCTCTCTCTTTTTTTCTGTTATGTGCTGCTTTGTTTCTTTCTCTCGCTTACGCCAGTAAATATGATAGCACCTACTTTTCTAACACCTTCAAACACTGTTCAGCTTTACCTTTGCTACCGACATGCCAATGTATTGTTGTAATAATGAACTGAGATTTCCTTAATCTATGTAGAATTCTATTTATTGATAATGTACTAACTGGATGCAACACTGTAGTAAAAATGCTGAGAATTCCATTCTGTATCACAAGTACTGTTTTGGAATAAAGCAAATTATTATTATTTTTTATTTGATGCGTCTATTGTTTTTTTTCAAATTTCAGATTACAAGGAGACTGGCAACAGGCGATTCGTTATACAGAAAAGCTCGCTTTAGAAAGTCGGTGGAGTCAAGCTTCATATCGATATATGAAAGCCGCTTTCCTTCTACAAAGTATAGAAGATCGTACAGCGCCTGATATCACCTCAAATGATGGTACATCGAAAAATCCACAAGATGTTGTAGATCAACTGCTTGCGTAAGTGTTTTTTACAAAATGATCTGAATACATGTGCGTGTGTGTACAGCTGTTATCATGCGGCTGTCGCAAAGATTGCCTGTAATCACTCATTTACTCCTCGCCACACGACCTCCCCTATGTTATCGTTGGACCTAATTCTTATTCCTTGTTTCACAATCAGGTTCTACTCGAGTGGTGGTCTGGTGAGCGATGTCATCGGACAGTCGCCTCAGAGTGTTCCCAGTCCGTATCCATTCCCTTCTTTATATTGCTGAGCAATGGGTTCTTCGTTGATTCATTCCCAGAGTTTCTTGTTACTAATTCTTTCTGACCATTTTATCTTTTGTATGGAGCAACCTATTGGAAAAGTTTTTCGTTGTACGTCAAGTTTCTGACCCACACAGAGGAACCAGTTTAAGTTTCATGTTAAGAATCCAGATATGTGGTTCCTTATGATGAGTGTAGAAGATTTTAAAACTAATTTCTGAGTGATGAAGGTCACTCTTGGCTTTCCAATGATGGTTAGATAAGTGCAGGAAGTGACTTCTTTCAAACATTTCTTCCGCTGATAGTAAGTGATTGGTGCTTCTTGCTATTGTTGTTGGTTGGTTATCTTCGTCACCTCCGTCTTCCCTATGTTAACCTTGAAGACCTGTCTTCTCTGCTTCTTCTACCAAGCTGTTGGTTTCCGCATGGTTTACTTGACCACTAGGCTTCTAGCCGGTTTCAAACCCGGGAAAATAGGGAGGGTTGGGCGTGGGGCTGGCGACCCTACCACGGAAAATCAATCAAACTGGTGCAGAAACTTGAAAGCAGAAGAGAAAGAATAGAAAATCATTCAGCTAAGTTTATTCGTAAACAAGGACTATATCTTTTTGTTATTCGGTGGACGGTGACAGTGCATTCGAAGATTCGCATTTCTCCCTATTTGGGACTCATCTATCGGATGAACTTGCATTCTCAGTAAGCGATGCTGTTGCTGGCTGGTTAGATTCGAATCCATTACGCATCATTTCAAACTCTTCAGGTTTCGATCCCCGGCCGACGCCTTCCCAGAAACTTTGCTAAGCCAGTAATAAAGACTGGTAAAGTGGGAAGGTTGGGCATGAGGATATCAACTCCATCCTGTGAAAATAAATGCCACTACAGCCGAAACTTCAAGCCTCTAGGTTGAAGACGTATGTTCCACTGTGAACTTAAAGGAGTAAAATTTGTACAGACTAATCACTTATGTCTTGATAACGTTTATTACTCTACAGTGGATAAACAGTACCACTTTCGTCTTTATGAGTACTATATGTCGTAAACAGTTGAAGATATACAAAGTTAGAATTCACAGGGTCACTAAATTCTGGCCCAATTGACTTAACTTTCAATGAGCTTGATCTGATAACCGGAAGATCCCCGGGGTTGGATCCCTGAGGGGTTTTTAGATGTGTACTGATGAAGAGTCTCAAACTGGGTCGAAACAACCGTGCAATACCTCTAACTAATGTTGATTCGTGACGAAATCTACATTGAAATATCACACACACTCAGTTAGCTATTCGTTGGGGAATTCAATTACGTATTATTCTTATTATCTTCGATTTACAAGGGAAGATATAGCAATGGTTTCACCAATATCCACTAATTTCAGTAGATATCAATATATGTGTAAAACTTGGGCACTGCGGTAGTAAGTAATTCCATATTGGTTTGTTTATTAGATATATCACACAGTGAAACAGTATTATTTACTGGATGACGTTTCGAAAAAAATTTATTGTTCATAATCATATCAATTGTAATCACACGACTTTGAAATCTGAGTTTTATAGTTTTATTTGTCCTCTCCTATCGGTCGTAGGGGTAGTAGAATTTTCCAGATGTCTGGGTGGACAGGTGTTAATCATTCCTATTACACGTGTTTGCAGTTGATTCGATAAACAAAGCTTCAGTCAGTCATCAGTCTCTCCCTTATGGGTAAATTTTATTTTGATAGAGTCTCACAGTGTTATACAGTAATATGTACTGATGACGTTTCGAGCACAATTTATTGCTCATAATCATATCAAGTTAATCACACGACTTCCTAAATTCATTTATATAGTTCCATTGTTTTTCACTTGATTTTCACTTGATTTGATTGGTAGTATTATTTTCCATATTTCGGGTATTAGTGATGATTCATTCATATTGCATGTGTTGGGTGTAGATTCGATGAACAAAGATTCAGTAATCAACCTCTCTCTCCACCTACCTAGATTACTTTTTAGAATTTTAACCCTCTCCCACCCTATTGTGTGGTTGTGTGTTAATGCATGCATTGCAATTGCCGAGCTTTTTTCTAAATTACTTATCTTCTCTGGGTCAACCATTCTAACCTTAGCTAAATTCTTATGTTCTGACAATCTGACTACCCCTGACCTACTAGTTTGACCTATGTAGTTGACCTCACAGTCATTGCAGGGTATTTTGTAAATTATATTATTTTGTCTAATTGGGTCCACCGGGTCTTTTAGCCTACAGAGCTTGTCCCTGAGTGAGTTTGTAGGTTTAAATGCCACTCTAATTCCTGCCTTATTCAGAATCCTACGTAGGGTCTCAGATGTCCCTTCCTTATATGGTATAACAGTGGATGACTTATATTCTCTCTTATTTATGTTATCATTACTAGTTCCATAATTATTTTTATTTTGTTTTTGGCCTTTAGTTATCTTCCTAATGAATTTTAAAGGATAATTATTCAACACCAACGCTTCTTCTATTTGTTTTATCTCGTCGTTTAGGTCTTTTTTTGTGCTACTTAGTGCTATAGCTCGGTTTGTTAGACACTTAACTAAGCCTGCCTTAACAGTTAACGGATGCGACGAATTAAAATCTAAATATCTATTAGAATGCGTTGGTTTTCTATATACACTAGTGTGAAGTTTACCTTCTTCTATTCGTTTTATTTTACAATCTAGCATAGCTAACTCTCCTTGTTCATCTTCCGATTCAAATGTGAATTTTATTCCCTCTACTAGTGAGTTAATATGTGTCAAGAAGCTAGAGATATGTTCTGTTTTTAACACTGTGAAAGTGTCATCCACATATCTCCACCATATTTTTGGAGTAGGATTAAACGTATTAAGTGCCATATTTTCCCAGCTATCCATAAATATATCTGCTACGATAGGGGATATTGGTGATCCCATCGCTACACCTTCAGTTTGTCTATATATTTTGCCTTGGAATTTAAATATAGTAGATGTGAGGCATAGCTGAATTCCTAAAATAATTTCTTCAATGGACAGCTTTGTTCTATGATTGAGTTCAGCATCTGTAATTAGTTCCTTTTTAACTGCTTCTAAGGCCATATTGACTGGTATATTAGTATAAAGACTGGTTATATCAAAACTAACCATTGTTTCATCATTATCTAGTTGTATGTCATTTAGTTTATTTTTCATTTCATATGAATTAGTTAGTCTAGAATTTGAACGATTTCTAATGGGGCATAATATTAGAGCTAAATGTTTTGATAATTCATATGTAGGGGTATTTCTAAAATCTACTATTGGTCTTATGGGATAACCTGGCTTATGTATTTTAATAGTACCATACATCCTACTAGCATTATTAGTTTTAGGCATTAAATTAAACCATCATCTCATCAAGGGAACTAAGCTCCAGTGAGATAAAAGTACTGGAGAAAGGACTAAATTTCAACGTAACAGTTAATAAACTAAAACCAGAGGATGTCATTCCTAACATAGAAGTAGCACTAAGTTCAATAGATAAAACAACAGCAGAAGAGGTTCGAGCACAATGTGCATTAACCCTAAAAAATCAAAAGAAGGCAAAATCAAACTTGACAAAATCGGAAAGAGAAGCTTTAATTAATCTAAAACAGGATAAAAATATTGTCATCGCAAAAGCTGACAAAGGAAACGCCACCGTAGTTTTGAATAAATCATAAATCTGACTACATCAAGAAAGTCAATGAACATATTGAAATGGGTCCATATGAGGAAATTAAGAAGCCCGTAGACACAATAATGAATAAGGTTAAAAAATCCACAGCGGAATTAGTACGCAGAATGAAGCCGTCACTGGGTGAGTCAAAATGGTTTAATTTAATGCCTAAAACTAATAATGCTAGTAGGATGTATGGTACTATTAAAATACATAAGCCAGGTTATCCCATAAGACCAATAGTAGATTTTAGAAATACCCCTACATATGAATTATCAAAACATTTAGCTCTAATATTATGCCCCATTAGAAATCGTTCAAATTCTAGACTAACTAATTCATATGAAATGAAAAATAAACTAAATGACATACAACTAGATAATGATGAAACAATGGTTAGTTTTGATATAACCAGTCTTTATACTAATATACCAGTCAATATGGCCTTAGAAGCAGTTAAAAAGGAACTAACTACAGATGCTGAACTCAATCATAGAACAAAGCTGTCCATTGAAGAAATTATTTTAGGAATTCAGCTATGCCTCACATCTACTATATTTAAATTCCAAGGCAAAATATATAGACAAACTGAAGGTGTAGCGATGGGATCACCAATATCCCCTATCGTAGCAGATATATTTATGGATAGCTGGGAAAATATGGCACTTAATACGTTTAATCCTACTCCAAAAATATGGTGGAGATATGTGGATGACACTTTCACAGTGTTAAAAACAGAACATATCTCTAGCTTCTTGACACATATTAACTCACTAGTAGAGGGGATAAAATTCACATTTGAATCGGAAGATGAACAAGGAGAGTTAGCTATGCTAGATTGTAAAATAAAACGAATAGAAGAAGGTAAACTTCACACTAGTGTGTATAGAAAACCAACGCATTCTAATAGATATTTAGATTTTAATTCGTCGCATCCGTTAACTGTTAAGGCAGGCTTAGTTAAGTGTCTAACAAACCGAGCCATAGCACTAAGTAGCACAAAAAAAGACCTAAACGACGAGATAAAACAAATAGAAGAAGCGTTGGTGTTGAATAATTATCCTTTAAAATTCATTAGGAAGATAACTAAAGGCCAAAAACAAAATAAAAATAATTATGGAACTAGTAATGATAACATAAATAAGAGAGAATATAAGTCATCCACTGTTATACCATATAAGGAAGGGACATCTGAGACCCTACGTAGGATTCTGAATAAGGCAGGAATTAGAGTGGCATTTAAACCTACAAACTCACTCAGGGACAAGCTCTGTAGGCTAAAAGACCCGGTGGACCCAATTAGACAAAATAATATAATTTACAAAATACCCTGCAATGACTGTGAGGTCAACTACATAGGTCAAACTAGTAGGTCAGGGGTAGTCAGATTGTCAGAACATAAGAATTTAGCTAAGGTTAGAATGGTTGACCCAGAGAAGATAAGTAATTTAGAAAAAAGCTCGGCAATTGCAATGCATGCATTAACACACAACCACACAATAGGGTGGGAGAGGGTTAAAATTCTAAAAAGTAATCTAGGTAGGTGGAGAGAGAGGTTGATTACTGAATCTTTGTTCATCGAATCTACACCCAACACATGCAATAGGAATGAATCATCACTAATACCCGAAATATGGAAAATAATACTACCAATCAAATCAAGTGAAAATCAAGTGAAAAACAATGGAACTATATAAATGAATTTAGGAAGTCGTGTGATTAACTTGATATGATTATGAGCAATAAATTGTGCTCGAAACGTCATCAGTAAATATTACTGTATAACACTGTGAGACTCTATCAAAATAAAATTTACCCATAATGGAATTACACTCTACCACAGTGCCCAAGTTTTATTCTTATATCAGTCTCTCCCTCCACCCTGTGACATTAGATTTTAGAACTGTCATCTTATCCCATCCTATTGTATGGTTGTGTGTGACTGCATGCAGTGCTACAGCTAAACTATTCTCTAGATTTCTTATCTTATTTGGATCAACCAATCTAGATTTCGCTAAGTTTTTATGTTCAGCTAGTCTGACTGCCCCTGTTCTCCTAGTTTGACCTATGTATTTGACCTGAGAATCATTGCAGGTAGGGTATTAGATAAACTAAATTGTTTTGTTTTAAAGGCTCTACAGGATCCTTTAACCGACAAAGATTGTTTCTAATTGAGTTTGTGGGTGGTTTGAATGCCATTTTTATTCCTGCCTTGTTAAGAATTCTGTTTAAGGCTTATGAGGTTCCTTCCTTGTATGGAATTACTACTGATGATTTAGATTCTTTATTGTTGGTGTCGTCATTAATATTATTATTATTATTATCACTATTATTATTATTATCATTATTATTGTTATTATCACTATCGCTACTATCATTATTTATTTTATTTTTACATTTCCTTACATATTTCCTGACTAATTTATCCGGGTAATTATTTAGTTTCAAGGCTTCTTTTATGTGTATCAGTTCCTGTTTTAGATTTGCTTTGGTACTACTTAGTTTTTGTGCTCTGTCATTTAAACATTTCACCAATCCTAATTTTATTGACATAGAATGGGATGATCAGAAGTCCAAATATCTGTTTGAGTGTGTGGGTTTCCTTTAAACATTAGTGTTTAACTTCCCATCTTCTTTCCTTTTTACTTTGCAATCTAACATTGGGAGCTCCCCTTCCTGATTTTTCAATTCATAAGTGAATTGAATTACCTCTACCTTCGAGTTGATGTGTTCGAAAAACATATCTATATCTTCTGTTTTAAGTACAGTGAATGTGTCACCTACATACCTCCACCATACTTTTGGAGTGAGGGTGAACGTTTTGAAAAAAAACTATAAAACTCAAGTTTCGAAGTCGTATGATTATAAGTGATTATGAACAGTGATGAATTATGTTCGAAACGTCACCCAGTAAATAATACTGTTTCACTGTGTGATATATCTAATAAACAAACTAATTTGGAATTCAGTAGATATCTTTATAAATAGTTGGGAAATTATGGCTGTTAAAATAATGTAATCAATTCTACCTCAGTGGTTCATAGCGGAACCTTCTTGGATGACACATTCACTGTGTAAAAAACACACGAGTTTCTTCATACATAATTTTATTGAAAGCAAGCAGAATTAAATTTACATTTCAGTCAGGAAATGAACAATTGGAATTAGCTATGCTTGGTTGTGAAATAAGACGAACTGAAAGTTACTGCCCTCTGGTGAATATTCAGTAGACTAACGTTCCGTGTTTATATAACTTCAACACATGAATGGTCTGTGACTACTCATATCAGTCAATGAGTAGTATATACTACTGGCAACGAGTCATATAAACTATTGCTCACAGGATCTAGATGATCTGTACACCAAACAGTCTGATCTCTCTTAATTGAATTTTAGATTTTCCCGTCGACTGATTGGATTGAAGTGCTCGGTCTCAGATTGACATGTCGGCTTCTTGTGCAGAGGATTCGACGATGTCTGGGCATGTAATTAGAAGCTAATTGGTGGATGGTGACTAGCAGTGGAATCCAGGATAACGCGCGTTTCGTCCTATTTGAGACTCGTCAACTAGCGGGATGTACCTGCATTCCCCAGTGGGTGATGATGTTCCTACCGAGGCTCGAACTCAGTGTCCATAGTTTCAAACGCCAAAGCGTTTTCCACTAGACCACTTGGGCGTCGAAGCATCTGTACAAGAAGCCGACATGTCAACCTGAGACCGAGCACTTCAGTCCAATCAGTCGACGGGAAAATCTAAAATTCAATTAAATAAGTAATATGACCCGTTGCACAAGAGGTGGCTCTCGTGGCCCAAGTGGATTAGTGGATAACGCTTTGACATTTGAAACCATGGGCACTGGGCTGGAGCCTCGGTGGGAACAACATCACTCACTGAGAGATACAGGTACATCCAGATGACGAGTCTCAAATAGGACGAAATGCGCGTTATCCTGGATTATTCCACTGCTAGTCATCATGCACCAATTAAGTCTGATCACTCCTTTGGAAACGAAATTTTTGGATTCAGTATACAGAGTTGAGTTATTTTTAAACGCCTGAATTCTGACGGACTAGGGAACCTAAAAAAAAGAATTCCGCATTTTATGAGATATTTTGCATTTCAAAGACACAGTCTTACATTGATGAACCCTCCTTGAAATTGAAAGTTTTAAAAGTGCAATGTCTGATTTACTTCACGCTAAAAGTGATGCGGATAGAATCACTCCTCCGGTTTCCCCTGGAATATGGGGCTTCAGCAGCACAGACGTTTTAAGCTCTCTCCACAATCGCCCATTAGCTTGCATTGTCTTCTCATACGATCTGCTCCATATCACTCTTGAACCCATGCCCTACTTTTCGTTACCCATTCATATTCCACTAGAAGGTTTGTCTAGCATGGAATGTCACTGAACACGGTCTCCTCAGTGTATTTCCAGTCCATCCATCTTTATTTTCCTCAGCATAATTTTTAGGCAGTAAGTTCTTGGTCTGTCCATTGACGGAGTTCCTTTCCTGCTGACGATCTGATGAAAAGGAAGGAAGGAAGCGAAGTGGGCAACTGTTGATAAAAGTCAGCAGACTGTCGGAAAGATATCAAGTGACATCATACAATGAAAGTGTCAGCAGGTGAACACCTGCCTTGCTCTAGTTTGAGTCTGGTAAGCAAAGGAACACTCACTCACGACCAGATAGTACACTTGTATTTCGCTTGAAAACTATTTCGCTTACTTGATCTCACTCTTAAACCTGTTCACATTTTAGAGATATACCAAAATTAGTGAAACGTTTTGGTGGGAGATCTTTACCAATTGAAAAAATTGCCCTCAGGAAATCTTCACGCTACTTTTCACAGAACAAAACATTAACACTTCCAGCCTTGGTATGTTCACTAGTTGTAAATAATATTTGATAATTTTCTATAAATATGTACACATATACTAATTATATTATGGTGAATAAGTAGTATGTCATGCAGCATAAATATTCTGGTAAATGAAAACATGAAGAACATCATGTTTTCATTTCAGGGTGTTTGATATTCACTTCTTTGGATTATTAGCCAAAAGGTCACCCACCGCCTTTGAATGCTACATTCACGTATACCATCAACTTGAGGTCTTTTCAATTAGTGTCCTGTCTTACACAAAAGTGGGATCCATTCATCTATCGACTCAGAGTTACAGATTCTTTTGATCAGAATCGTAAGAGGTATTATCATGTTTCATTTACGATCTAATTTCTACCCAACTATAAAAGTTTTTAGTCAAGTGGCAGTTCCACGTAGGCTTTCTTTATGCCGATTTGTTCAATGTCCCATAGATCTTCTTTGTCGGTCAAGCATACAGAAAGGAGACTGCCTGTCCGATTTATACTTCAGTTGTAAATTTGATGTCTATTAAAAATTGTAACACATTGTTTGGGTCACATTTATTATCACAAATGATAAAAGTATCATCAGTAAACCTTCTGTACAGAGAAAAGGTGTCGGTAGTCGATTTAAACGGATCATTTCCTAAACTTCCCACGAACAGGTATTAGTTAGACAACAGTTGTACAGCAGGGAATATTGGATGTCTGTTTAATCCTAGTTGGAGAGTATTCAACAGTACGCAGTACTTTCTTTTGATTGCACACTAGTCAGTAACTAGTGTAATGTGTCTAGTCCTATCTTCGGTGCAGACTGAATTCTATCAGTCATGTTTGCAATGTGGCCACCATGCTAGGTGGCTCGCCATTACGGTGCACTGTGAATTGTTGGTATTAGATGGTTGGAGGCAAACATGACTGATAGAATTCAGTCTGCACCGAAGATAGGACTAGATGCATTACACTAGTTACTGACTAGTGTGCAATCAAAAATATCCAATACAGTCCTACAGGAGGTCATTCGCCAGCCTGAATAGCTCAGTGGTAACGTCTCTGACTGCACCACTGGGTGACGCGGATCGAATCTCAGAAGGGACATCAGTTCCTTCAAGGTTGCAGATACGCCTTGCTGATGACTGCCAACTAGCACGAAACCTAGGTCCAAGGCTTCCTGCCGATTGCCTCCAACCATCTAATACCAACATTACGCAGTACTGTTATGAGATTGAACACCTTCCAGGTGTTATCAGACTAACCCCTCGACAATTTAGCCATTGGGAAAAATTCTTATGGTCCATAAATTCTAACTTAATCTGATTTGAAGTGGATGATTTCGTGACACCCAACTTACTGGAGCTTACTGCCAACGATGTCTCGCTGGAATTCCAGAAACTCCATCCTTTTGTCAATCATCATATTGTTTTATTACGGTATATTTCGTCACCAGATGAAATCGTCTGGTGAACCGCTGGAAGCTATAGAGAAATGCTCAGGTGTTTTTCCCTGAATCAGAATAGTTCACAAGTGAACTTCTAAAATTCCACAAATAGTTGAATCAAGAAGAGATGTGTTATGTTGGGGTGACTCCATCATTCAGGCACTAAGTTGACAGTTCAGTGAACTATGCAACTTTATTTCTGTCTTCAGAATGAAGATTTACTTCGAAAACCTCTTTTTAAGTCTTCCAGGCAACACTTATGGCTAGGAATTCAGGAAATACATCTCGAAACATGTTCCGGAATAAATTTCACTAAATACTTTATACTACTTAAATTGTTTTAAGTAGTCAAGCACATTCATTGAATAAAACAATTGCTTTTGTGTTTCAGGAGCTAATATTTATTTGGAATGGTTTTAAAATGATTCAATCACAACCAGATGCCATAACAACATTTATTATGATTTGTGAAAATAAAATCAATGAACTGTTTCAAAACAGAGGTAACAGACAAAAACTTCCTCTCCTTTTTTTAAAAGCTAAATTTAAATTTCTCATTAATTTTTGTTCTACATTGAAATTTTGTTGTGGCCAATTGAAAAGCTGTTATTACATTAGTCTACATAATAAGGGCTACGTTTTTCAGCCATAAATATGCACAATTTTCAATGTGTTAGTTTGCACAGATTTGACTGATTTCGTATCAGGCGACAGACTGATGTCTTCATGCGTGTATTCCCTTTTATATGAATTTGAATAAGGCAAGTACAATAGCGGTTTGTGCAGAATAAAATGGTACGATCTTTGTTTATTTCATTGGCTTCTCATCAGCTGCTAAAAGGCCAAAGTCATTGTTAAGTATATCTACAGAAACAGTTTTAACACCTCTTCCCAATGTCTTCTTCGATGAGTTACTGCCTCACCTTCAACATGCTGTACCCTACTGGTCACAGCTTCCCACTAGAATCCCAGGTTAACTGCCTAAATAGGACCAGTCGCTAGTGAGTATCAGATGATGAAATCCTCCATCCAATCGAACAAAATCCCTACAAAACTAATACTTGAAAATTAATCTGGTGTTCTTTAGCTAGCGACTGGCCCTGTTCAGTCAGTTGACCTGTGATTCTAGTGTGAAGCCATGACCAGTAGGGTTAAGCCCGTTGAAGGTGAGGCAGTAACTCATTGAAGAAGATATTGCGAAGTGGTCGCGCTACGCCATGAATTCGCAGAAGTTAGAATTCATGAGCTGGCTTAATGGTCTACAACCTCGCTATTCTTGTAACCAGAAGGCCCCAGGTTCGAATCCTGGTGGTGGGTGCATACTGATGAAAAACCCAAAACTAGGACGGAGGAAGTAGGTGTTCAGTGTTTCTGGGTTTTCCAATGGTTACCTAACCGTTGTCGGCTCACGGTAAAGTCTTCCCCCAATCAAACAAAATTCCTACAAAATGTATACTTGAAAATTTTAACATACTTGCACAGGGTTCATTTTTAAATAAAGTAAATATATGCATACAATGCTAGTAATAATAATAATGACAATAATCACTCTGTCCCAAATAATCATAATCATACATCACCATACTTCAGAGTTACATAATCAAATTAATGAAAGAATGAAGGCAAGGAAAGACTGATAACCACTTCTTTCTCAACGCATAAATCGGGTTTCAGGCACTTGACGGTGACTGCTTCGGCAAGCTCAGGGAGAATTGAACTCCTTTGCCTATCGACAATTTTTAACGATCTTGCAACACCAACTTCACGACCTTTATCAAGAAAATGCTTGGAGATGGCACTATTAAAAGCATTTGTTCCTTTGACGCATAGGCTTTTTGGTACATGTTCAGAAAATCGGAGGTTTACCCTTCTTTCTGTCTTTCCAATGTAACTGCTCCTGTAAATACATTTGGAGTTATAATGGAATCAATATCTGTCGAATTTTGATTTCAGCAAAGAGCAAGCTTTGGACTGACTGGAACTAATTTAGCTACAGGATAATCTGTGACTAGTGATGTCCTCAATCTTCTATTGACAATTACTGTAATATTTTCGCCTTCAAAATCGAATTGAATGTAGACAGGCTTTCTTCCCATTGTGATTTGTTTGGCATTTGAGCCCTTCCATAGCTTTGAGATTAACCGTTGTTTTTCAACATCTTTTCGAGATAAATTAATTCTTCCTGTAATTTCTCTGTAGAGCATATTCTTCTAGCTCTATAGCATAAAGTCCTGACTAGTCCACGTTTAAAACTGTTTGGACAAAAACTATTAAGATGTTCATATTGTCCTTTCCATGTAGATATAGTTAGTAAGAATCTTTGGGTTGTAAGCAGCTGATGAGAAGCCAACGAAATAAACAATGATGGTGCCATTTTTTATTCTGCAAAAGCTGTGATTTTTTTGCTTTATTCAGACTGATATCTGTTAGAAAACCAGGGATAATTCAGAGTACTGGAAAGCTGTTTTGTCTCATTTTCAAATTGTTCAGATGTCCATACCCATGCCCGACTGGTAGACAACGAACCAAGGGCCTTGAGATTACGAGACAAGCCTGTCGTTTGGCAGTTTGATTTCATTACAGTCGGTGTCTGGTAAATGAGATCACCCAGTAACCTGATACTTGCAGGTTGTTAATGCTGAGGAGTCTTTAACTAGGAAAAAAACAGATTTCCAGTTCTCCCTTTATTTTAGTGATTTTCTAACTGATATCAGTAAGTGGCCTTATTTCAAATGTGCTTAGATTCCTTATATACAAGTGTATCTGATTTTCGAAGATATATAAAACTTTGGTCCCCTCAAAATCTCCTGGACGAATAAGAATTTCAACTGGCATCCAAATACATTAGTTGCGACATCACAGACTGCGATACTAGTTGATGTAAGTTCAGAACTCCAATGAGACATTAGTTGCTTCAATGGACCAGATATGCCTTGATGACGAGTGCTGACATGCCCAAAACCCAGGTCTAAGACGTCCTGACAACTAACATCCAACCATCTAAAATTAAACAAAGCAAAAACAAATATTTGTGCAGAATAATATATGAGGTCATGATTTCTTTCTTTGGATTCTCTTCAACTGCTTACAATCGAAAAGTTGATTATGTAAATGTACTAAAAATTCTTTCATAATAATAATAATAATAATTTTTGCTTTATTCCAAAACAGTAATAATGATACAGCAAGGAATTTTCAGCATTCAGTACAATATTGCATCTAATTTACTCAAAACGACAAAAAAATAAACATTACATAATAATAATAATAATAAAACGTTATTATACCAGCTGTGTAGCAAATTACAGTATACGATAAGGAGAAAAATACGCATAAAGTATAAAATTATAGTAATAATAGTAATAACAACTAAAATAAAAATAGCAAAGTTATAATTAAACGATAGAAAGGGTGACACCATAGAATTACAGAAAGATGAACAATGAAAGGGTCGATTCACTATGCTAATTACATAGTAACTTATATGTTTCACGTCTAACAGAGTCTTCATCACATAAAATACGGGCTAAATTCGGTATTGTAGAATTTTTGCACCTAGTGGTTCGAGCATATAACTTTTTATATTGACTTCTTGTCCTACCTGATGAGATGCAAGAGGATAGTTTTGAATAAAGGGGATGCAGACGTTCTGACAGTACGGCCTTTGCCCACTCTGTTTAGGAATTTATGTGTCTCTCGACTATAATATTGGCGAGCTCACGCAGTGGCATACCACAAGTCCTACTCACAGCATTTAATACCCTTCGTAATATGACATAGTCTTTTTTAAGAAGCCCAGGGAAGATTAATGGCGACCAATAGAGTACAATAGGTAAAATACAGGAGTTTAAAAATTGCAGTAGTAAAGGTTGGTTGATACCTGATTGTCTTAGCTTTTTAATGTACAAGGTCAGGCAAAACATTTTCTTAGAGATTGATAAGATGTGGAATGACCATGAAAGGTCAGAGGAAAGAACTAATCCAAGGTATTTAATGCTTGACTTGGTTTCAATTTCAGTGCCATCTATGCTACAGGCATCATGGGAACTAGCTAGTTCATGTATGTCACGTCGATGCTTGAAAGTAAAGTTAACTGCCTGACATTTGGAAGGATTTAACATAAGACCATTTGACTTAGACCACTCGCTGATGTCCAACAGAAAGCTATTAAGTTTGGAGCAGTCAGACTCGGAAGTGATAGGCAGCCAGTGATACAGTCAGATCATCAGCATATTTGACAAAGTTAGTTTCGTTTAAATGAGGCAGGTCAAGGATCAACTTGATTTCTGTTAACAAGGGCACTCACGTTGATAAACAATGTTCAGGGTTTCCATTTATGTAACAACTTATGAAGGAGGAGGTCAAGGTTCAAAATAAAATACACACATCCAAAATTAATTGACGGATTCATTGGAAATTTAGTTTCACAATCAAGAAAAGAGAAGAGAAGTTGATGATGAGTAATTGTGTGGTGAGTTAAGCTCAGGTCAATGAAACAAAAAGGAACTGAATTAAGCCAAAGCTAATTAATTGAGACTAGGAGACTAGATGTTGAGTCACCAAGGCAAAGAAAGACTGATAGGTGAATCTTTCTGAACATACATAAGTCAGGTTTTAAACGTCTAATGACAATTGCTTCGGTAAATCTGAGGAGCGTTGAATTTTACTGTCTATAAATAATCCAGAAGGATGTCGTAGTGTGCCTACCTCATGACTCGTATCAACAGAATGTCAGGCAATAACACACTTGAAACGTAAACTTTTTGTTACATGTTCACAGAATCTGAGATATACCCCCTTCTCTCGGTGTAGAGACCATTTTGTTTATTCGTTTTTCTTAAACTCTTTTTTCTTTCTCTTTCTTTCTCGATATTTAGACACCAATGAAAACTTTTTCGACGATTATTGTTTAGCTTTAATGCTAAAAGGTGTATGTCTTCGGTGTCGTGGTCAACCGTTTCAAGCGTTTATGTGTTTCACTGAAATTCTACAATCGTAAGTGTAATTTATCTGCATAAGCTTGAAACAATGAAAGAAATTTTTGTGACTTAGGTGAATGTGTTTTGATGTGGTTGTATTCTCAAATCTGTATGCTCTGAATTGTGAGCTCATCAGGACTTAAGATGTTGTCTAGAAGGCTAAATCTACTCTCCCATCCACCCCCGCATTCAGTGTTCTGTTCGATGATGATAATGCATAGCGTCACAATTTGATCCTATGAAGTAGTTTTGTGGTGAGAGATGTCGGCAAGCCGAAATCGTAGACAACAATTTACGTCAATGTTTACGTCCCGAATCGGGGTCATGAGAAAAAAGGAACAGTAACAAAGCTTAACCTTGAGGAACTCAACAACCAATCACAGCAGACTCAACGTGTACAAATACGATTCACAGGTATATGGCTTAACTTTCTAAGAAACGGTCACGAGCAGTACAGAATAACCTACAGCCAGAAAACAAACGCGAAGTAATTTAGAAACTACTCAAGTACTATGGCGTACCCAAAAATATTCATCAACCTTATTCAACAGCTATACGACAACGACACATGTCAAGTGATCCACAACGGAAAACTCAGCGAGGCGTTTGGAGTAAACACAGGAATCAGACAAGGGTGCTTATTATCACCAATGATATTCCTAATTGTGGTGGACTGGATTATGCGTCAGACAGTGAGAAACGAGAAGACAGGGATATCCTGGACCGACGGGAAGTATCTAGAAGACCTGGATTTCGCGGATGATTTCTGTTAGATGTCACACAAAATCGAAGACTTACAAGGGAAAACCGACCGACAAACTGGTCGAAGAAGCAGCCAGTGAAGACAGGACTCCAGGTGAACATAGACAAGACGAAGGTTATGAAAATAACCAACCAAAAACAACAACAACAGCAACAGCAACATCCAGCGCCAATCACCATCAACGGGAGGGATTTGAAAGAGGTTACTTCATTCACTTATCTAGGGAGGGAGCATTGTCTCAACTACAGGCACATAGAACGGACGAGGATGTCAAATCGAGAGTCGGGAAGGCGAGAAACACAGTCATCAACCTGAAACCAATCTGGAAATCTTCGTCACTCAGCATCAACAACAAAGTGATTCGGATTTTCAATACAAACGTCAAGTCAGTTCTTCTATACGGATCAGAAACTTGGCGGGTCACCAAGAATATTTCCAACAGCCTGTTTCAGAACTTTATCAACAGCTGTCTTCGTTCTATACTCAAGATCAGATGGCCGGAAAGAATCACCAACAAGAAACTATGGGAAGAAACAAAACAAGAACCAATCGCTCAACAAATATGCAGGAGAAAGGGAACAATAATAATAATAAGAAGAAAATAACCAATCAGAAGAGGTTGCTTCTCCGCTGACGATAGATCTATTAAATATCTGTTGATTTTGTCAATAAACGATCTGTTGCTTGGTCCTTGTCTTCTGTAGTTACAGTTTAACAGTTTAAATGTACATTGTATCGATCATCTCAAGGGTTTTTTTTACAGTCCTTTATTCAGATTGTTTGTCCAAAGTGAGAGTTCACCTTTGGCTTTAGATCTGTACTTCCTTCAAATGAAACTTTTAAATTTTTGATTGTTTCTTTACAATTCTCTTTCGCCCCTCTTTGTTTCTACAATTTCAGAAAAAAGAAATTAAAAATGGATACTTATTTATTACCCTACTGTGAAATGGAATTGTGTCATTTATCCTATGAAGATGGTGATATTGATGAGGCTGTTAAACATTTGGAGAAAGCTCTGTAAGTTGGATAAATCTATTTTGTCTTTGTATATAATCGAGAAGGTTTGTAGCTCAAGAAGGATGAGGAGGACGAGAAGGAGATGATGGTTTCTGGTATTTTGTTTAATGTGTTCTTCTCTAAGCGGAATAATTTAACCGTGTAAACGTTTCATCGTCTTCCTCGACAATGTATTCAGTACCAACTTCACTAAGGAGTTAACTTTCGGTGGGCTTTGTGGATTATGTCTGTGATAGGTTGTCTCTGAAGGTGACCAACGGACGCGTTACGTGCCCTCCTCAACTGGTCATATCACTTAAGCTTTATTCTGAAGTTCGCGTTAAATGTGTTAGGGGAAGGCAATTAAACACAACTAGAATGATAAAGGTTTATAATTTTTATGTTATGAACGATAAGGATAAGATAAAGTCGCCTAAATTTGATACTGGATGAGATGAGCAGCACTAATGATAATGGTACAACTAGAATTCGATGCAGGAAGGCGACAGCCCATACATCCGATGCGAATTAGTGATATACGATAGACTGGTCCTAGCCTATGGGAACAATCTAATTTCATTATAAAGAAATATTCCGAACCTCAGAAAGTTAAACCAGAAAGAAACATGACTGATTAACCATTGGTTACAAAAGGTCGGGGAGGTCTCCGTGTTGTTGAATCATGTTGTATTCACAATAATTCGTCAGCTTCAACCCACTGGTTTAATTTCTCGATTCTCGTTTAACTCCCACCCCGTCTAAGACGGTTTAACCCTGCAGAATTTGGCTATTCGAGGATTAATTCTCAAGAGTTAATGTGTAGGAATTTGACCTGTTGTAATGTTTGACCACGGATTGATATGAGTTAGAGGACCATTGAAAACCAGCACTGGAGTACTGAACAGCTCATAACATTATCTGGTTGGTGTTTGTGCTAAAATCACCAATTAATAGAAGTTATAATTCATAAGGTGGCCGTTGATTCGGGTCCCAGTAGCTGAATGGTATACGAGCTTGCCTTGTAACCTGAAGGTCCTGGGTTCCAACCCTAGTGGGTGGGTACATAATTCCAATGAGTCCCTAACTAGGACGAAAGAGTTGTCTAGTACTCCTTGGTGGCATTCAATTGTTCTCTAACTGATCAAAATCTTGAACATATTATCACTAATTACTATCCTCATTGAGTCGGTGACACAGCCGTAGAATGCTTGCCAACGACGCCACATGTGGTTCGGGGTTCACTCGCCGGCCACTGGATGCACTCCCTTACCTTGCTAAGCCAGTAATAAGTCTGATAAAGAAGGAAGGTTGGGCATGAGGGTAGCAGTCCCATCCCGTAAAAATAAGCACCACTTCTACCGAAACTTTAAGCCTCTAGCTTGCAGCCTTATATTCCACCGGGAACGTAAAGGAATAAATACTATCCTCATCAGTCATACATCACACAATATTTTGTATTTCCATTCATCAGCCCAGCACGTTTGTCACATAACTACTATTTACTTTCTCAACCCCTATAATTGTTAGTGTGTTATTCCATGTTAAAATGTATCCGCCGCATAACTGGCCATTACTGTAACTATAATAAATATTATATTTCATACAAATTTTCTTTATATACAAAGTTCTAGCCTCAAATTATGTATTGCTATGCCCTTCACCATGCAAAGCTACCACCAGCCCCGATGTCGTCGATGAGTAGGTGTCCTCATACTCGACCTGACGGACCTCAAACTATCACTTTGAACACTAAGTTATTTCGTCCCATGGTCAATCAGTATTTAGAACACAATATTCAGCAAAGAGACTCTTTTCAACGAATTTATTATCAAGCTATACAATCGTATAAACAGGGTTTTAAAAAATTATATCCGGTGAGAGAATTAGGTCAAAGGTGTGAATACATGAAAAAATAATACAAGTTTGAAATGCAATTAAAATATTTGTGATTATAATCATAGTTTAATGTCAAGTGGCAAAATAATTAATGTCGAACATGGAATAATACATAAGGTGTATAGCTTTTAGAAAGGAGTACATAATTACAAGATTAGTAGACGAATATAAAATGTTACATAACATGGTGTGAAATTTGATAAGATAGAATTCAACAATATAAAAATATAAAAACTAATAATTCTGGGTTAAGAATGACAAGTGGGTCAAGTTGAAAAGATTCAGAGTGAGAATAGTAATAATAATAATAATAATGATAATAATATTAATAATAATCGTAGTAATAAGGGAGGAGTACATAGAACAACTAAATAAACAAAATACATAAATGTCTATCCCTCTACTGCCAAGGCAGAAGTAAGGATCAAGCTTCAGATATGCTCAAAAATCGTCTCTCTAAATCAGTCAGTAAGACGTTCTATGCAGCAAAATTAAATGTGACATTCACTAGCCGCACGTTGTTTTCAACCTCTGTAAAAGATAAACTCCCCCTTCTGGCCGCCTCCATGTGCATCTATCAGTTCACCTGCTCTTGTGGAGCAAGGTACATTGGCCGTAGTCAGAGGACACTTTCCACAGATGGATACGAGAACATATTCCAGCTGCATGGTTTTACAAGGGAGAAAGGATGGGTGTGCGAAGCTCTATTTTGGAACACCTGATCGACTTCTGTCACTCTGTCAACCCTGACCATGATTTTAAGATCATATTTAGAATCCATGCTAACTTCCCGCGTTTTCTTCGTTACAGACTTCTAAAGATAGCTGAGGCCTTGGCAATTCATGACTTTAAGCCAGACAGGTCTTTGTGTACAAAAGAAGTATGTACAATCCCTACTTCTGCCTTGGCCGTAGAGGGATAGACATTTATTTATTTTGTTTATTTAGTTGTTCTATGAACTCCTCCCTTATTACTACGATTATTATTATTATTATTGTTATCATTATTATTATTACTATTCTCACTGAATCTTTTCCACTTGACCTACTTGACATTTTAAACCCAAAGTTATTAATTTTTTATTTTTAATTTTGTAATATTGAATTCTATCTTATCAATCAGTATTTATCTTTTTTTCAGCTAACCAACCTTTTAATTTGACATAAATGTGGTTTCCTCGTATCATCGTTATCATCTTATGTCATACTTTTTCTTTTTTCACTTGAAAATTCTCTAGGAGTTATAAAGGTTATCATTTAGAGTCACGACTACACTTTCGTATCCATGAAATGGATACCAAGTTGAAAGAGAGTCAGAGGAAATTCTCGACATCAACTTTAAAACACCAGCAACAACAACCACACCAAAATCAACATCAATTGTCCCAACTACAACTGCAACAACAACAACAGTCAATGAAGAAGACTGGCAGTGAACATCTTCTTACTATTCCAAATAGTAATGACAACAAGTCAATATCATCATTTAAGTCTGTAGATATCCCTGTGAATTATGCTTCAACACCGTCATCCTCTAACGCTTCAAAGAGTTTTTTGTCACCTGGAACAGGTGGATCAACAAGTGGAATGATGATGAATTCATCATCACCATCACGATCAAGACGATTATTCGATGATGATGATCTTGATTTGGATTTAGATGATGCATGTGGTTCAGAAGGTTCTCATGAAGATTAAATAAGAATGGTAAGTGACATTTGATTATTTCACAGTATGCAAAAAGAATTTTTGTGATTGTTGACATGTAGTCAGTGGAGTGTACTCGAATTAAATCGTAAGAGTCAAATGAGAAAGACTTCTGTTTTTTTGTACAAATATCGACACATATCTTCGTGATAATAACAAAAGTGTTCCTGGAATTCAAGTGTTGGTTTGTAGGGATTTGATTGGTTACAGGATTTTCATCATGAGCTGACATTAGTCAGAGAACCATTGGAAAACCTGGGAGTACTGGACAGCTGTTTCGTCCTAGTTTGGGATTCTTCAGTAGTATGCACCCACTGGGATTCGAACCCAGGACCTTCTGGTTACAAGGCGAGCTCGTATACCAGTACTCCCAGGTTTTCCAATGGTTCTCCGACTAATGTCAGCTCATGATGAAAATCCTGTTCCTGGAATTCTTTGACTGTTTCACTTCGACCTTGTCAGAAGATGTAAAATGCTTCTTTAGATTTATTGGAATGCTATTTGAGTAACAGTCTTCAAATGTTTGACATGTGATTCACTCCCCTTGTCAAATGTAAGATGATGCTGTATAAGTGGACTAAATTGACTATTCGTAGCTTAAAGACAGAGGGGAGTGAAGCGGTTGGAAGAGCGTGGTGACTGATTCCCTTATTTGGGGAGGTACATCAGCCAACGCTTACAGGGATCTGATTGGTTTCAGGGTTTCATCATGAACTGATATTGGTTAGAGGACCATTGGAAAACCTGACAGTACTGGACAGCTGTTTCCTCCCAGGGTTCGAACCGAGGACCTTCTGGGTACAAGGTGAGCTCGTAGATCATTAAGCCACTGGGACGCAGTCCAATGGTCCATGAATTACATCTTCTGCCTATTCATGATATAGCGAATGTCATCCGTGGCGAGTATTTGTCCTCACACCCAATCTGCTGTACGCTATTGTTCACGACTAATTACTAAACAATCTGTTACGTTTATATTGATGATAAGAAACAGCAGAATCCAGTAGACGCTCATTTCATCCTATTTTTAGAAATGATTCGTCAGCTGGACATTTACCTGTAATACTTCGTGGTGTTGGTGTTCCTGGAATAAGACTCAAATCCAGCCAGTACCCATCTTTTCGAAAGCCACACCGTTATCATCCACTTGACCGATTGGGTCACAGCAGCCACCTTTTGTGCTGACAGCGTAACGATGTTTGACGATGGACACTGATGTTATTTGATGGATAGTATGACCAGCAATCAGAATGTTATAGATGTGCATTTCAAATTACTCCAACTGTCAGATCCAATCAATTTAGCCACAAGAGACATGAGATTCCCGTCCAATCTGTCTATGGGAAAACCCAAAACCAAACTTATTTCAACTTTGATTACAGATTAGTGTCAGTTAGAGAACCAATGAAAACCAACATTGGGTATTAAGCAGAGGTTTCGTCCCAGTTTGAGACTCTTCATTAATAATTATCCACGATCACACCGGGAATTGGATCCAGGATCTATAGTCTACAATGCTACAGTAGCTAAATAGTCAATGAGCTTGACCTCGTGTCCCGGAAACTCTTGAGCTCAATATCTAGTAATGGATGAAGAGTCTCAATCTGGGACGAAACAGCTGTCTAGTACTCCTTGTTGGTTTCCAGTGCGTCATGAAGACTGAAACTAATTGAATTCTTACAAACTAATTCCATATTAATTTGTTTATTAGATGTAGCACACAGTGAAACAGTATTATTTATTGGATGACGGCGTTTAGAACAAAATTTATTATATTTGTGATTGCACACTAGTCAGTAACTAGTGTAATGCGTCTAGTCCTAACTTCGTTGCAGACTGAATTCTATCAGTCATGTTAGCAATGTGGCCACCATGCTAGGTGGCCCGCCATTACGGTGCACTGTAAAATTGTTGGTATTAGATGGTTGGAGGCAATCGGCCACAGGAAGCCTTGGACCTAGGTTTCGTGCTAGTTGGCACTCATCAGCAAGGCGTATCTGTCACCTCGGAGAAACTCATGTCCGTTCCGAGATTCGAACGCGCGTCACCCAGTGCTGCAGTCAGAGACGTTACCACTGAGCTATTCAGGCTCGCGATTGACCTCCTGTAGGTGTGTATTGGATATTTTTGATTGCACACTAGTCAGTAACTAGTGTAAAACACTACAGAAAGTCAATCGCGAGCCTGAATAGCTCAGTGGTAACGTTGATATAAGTATAAAACTTGGGCACTGTGGTAGAGTGGTAACGTCTCTGACTGCAGCACTGGGTGACGCGGGTTCGGATCTCAGAAGGGACATGAGTTCTTTCAAGGTTGCGGATACGCCCTGCTGATGGGTGCCAATTAGCACGAAACCTAGGTCAAGCAAGGCTTCCTGTCGATCGCCTCCAACCATCTAATACCAAAAATTTATTATTCATATTGTTCATGTCCTAGATATCTGGAGAATTCTACTACCCCAGCGATGGCAAATAGAAAAGAACAAAGAAGACTATGAGACTCAAGTTTCGAAGTTGTGTGATTATTATAACTGATGTGATTATGAGCAATAAATTTTGTTCGAAACTTAGTCATCCAGTAAATAATAATACTGTTTCCCTCTGTGTGGGATATATCTAATAAACAAACTAATACGGAATTAATTACTACCACAGTGCCTAAAAGTATTACACATATATTAATATTTTCTACGAACTAACCCTTGAACATATTCTGTTATTGCGTAATTTTCACTTCTCTCACTCTCTCTCCGTCTCTTATTTCAGATCTAAGTGCTTCTCTGGATTGACTATTCTCCCTCCCATTTGTACTACACAAACACAAACACACACACAAAGAGATTGATTGTCTTCAAACCAACCAACCAACTCACCTCCATTTCATCCCTTCACGTTTTACCCCTCACAGTGAACGATTCCCTTCCTATCAGAGAGAGAGAGAAAGAGATCTATGAGAAGAATTCAGTTCATATATAAATCTATATAAATGAAACAAGTCTTTCCTATTACACAATCACTCATATAAACATTATTACTAACTAGTAGTAATTATAATAATAACAATAATAATCTCACATATGGAATGCCTGCACCAAGACATATACACCCACCAATGCAGATAGTGTGGCAGACACACAGATCGATCGATAGATAGATAGATGGATAGACAGACATGTGGATAGAATGAGACAGACAGATGGACATTTCTCAACTCTCTACTCTTTCTTATTCCATGTTCAATATATATATATATATATTTATATATATATATATATAGATCAATTTAAACAAACTTGTATTATCTGTGATACCACCAAAGGGTGTAAGTAACCATGACGACGTGATGGGTAACCCACAAATCGTGCAATTCGCCGTCGTTGTCGTCATCATCTTCTTCTTCTTCTCGTGTCACTAATTGGTTTTGTTTTTTTAATAATTTTATTATTATTATTCAGTTTTTGTTAATTTTACACTCGTAATCATTAATAACTATAATTTAGAAAATGATGATGGCCTTAAAATATTTATTATCAGTATTATTATTATTATCATTATTATTATTATTACTAATATTATTTGTAATTGAACGACAGGAGTAAACATATTTTTATTTTATTTATTTATTTATATTTCTTCAAATATAACCGAAAAAATAACATGTGTTTGTAAATAGAATCATGTATTTTGTGGTACAGTTTCTTCTTTGGTGTTCTCCATCCTTTCCAAAAACTGCTGCCGAGCACTTCGGTCCAATCAATCGACGGGAAAATCTAAAGTTGAATTAATTAATAATTAATAAGAATGGTTGCACAAGAGGTGGCTCTTGTGGCCCAAGTGGTCTAGTGGGTAATGCTTTGGTGTTTGAGACTACGGGCCACTGGGTTCGATCCTCAGTGGGAACACCATCAAGTCTCGACTGGGGTATGCAGGTACATCCCGTTAGCTAGCTGAAGAGTCCCAAACTATGACAAAACAGCTGTCCAGTACTCCCAATTTTTCCAGTGGTTCTCTAACGATATCAGCTAATGAGAAAATTATGCAGTTTTTCCTGAAGCATTCATAGGATTTCGAGACAGTAAGGGTTGGTTGATTAAGTCAGGGCTAGAGTAGTTGAGTTAAGGGATTTATGACTATGATTTGACCATGACCATTATCGATTGAAGCACTGAATTAATTGAATTAGATTTTGTGTTTTTCATGTACCTGATTGCGAGCTACACTCATTATGTGCATGTGTGTGTGTAGACTGATGATAGTAGATGGACAGTCGCTTAGACTTGAGCAGTCTTTGGATAGGGAGTCGAACTCAAGACCAATTTTAGTCTAAGGCTAATGAACACTGACAAACTGGTAGAAGAAGCAGCAAAGGCAGGACTCCAGGTGAACATAGACAAGACGGATGTTATGAAAATAACCAGCCAACCAACAACAACAACAGCAACATCCATCGCCAATCACCATCAACGGGAGGGATTTGAAAGAGGTTACTTCATTCACTTATCTAGGGAGGGAGCATTGTCTCAACTACACGAGGAACGGAACTACGAGGATGTCAAATCGAGAATCGGGAAGGCGAGGTACACATTCACCAACCTGAAACCAATCTGGAAATCTTCGTCACTCAACTCAGCATCAACAACAAAGTGATTCGGGTTTTCAATACAAACGTCAAGTCAGTCAGTTCTTCTATACGGATCAGAAACTTGGCCTGTGGGTCACAAAGAATATTTCCAACAGCCTGTTGCACACCTTTATCAACACCTGTCTTCTTTCTATAATGAAGATCAGATGGCCGGAAAGAATCACCAACAAGAAACTATGGGAACAAACATAACAAGAACCAATCACCAAACCAATATGCAGGAGAAAGTGGAGATGGATTGGACACTCGCTGAGGAGGCCGCTGAGTGACATCGCGCGTCAGGCCAGTGCTCGAGTGGAACCTGAAAGGGAAGCGGCGAGTAGGACTTCCAAGGGTGACATGGAGGAGATCGTGTGAAGAGGAGTTGAAACAGTATGGTCTAACATTGATGCAGGTGAAGAGTATAGCAGAAGACAGAAGCAAGTGGAGGCGTGCAGTTGAAGCCCTATGTTCCACTAGGAACCCAAGGGAACAACAACAATAATAATGAACACTGTGGGTGTCCGTTGTTATTCAGACTTTTAGATTTTATCTGCGATTAGCATTGAATCGATGATATCATGTTTCTCACTAGCTGGCTTAGTTGTTATTCAATTCATTCTGTGATCTCATTTGTGACATGACATGATCTTAAAATATTCCACAGCATACTTTATTGACATGAAATGTGTTCAGCCTACTAGTCGGGTGTAAGCCCCGGAAAAAGCGGCAAAGTTGTGTGTGTGTGCATGGAGCTAGGGACTCTACGTTAGTTAGTAAATTAATCTAGGTTGGCTGGTGAAAGCCTTGGGAAGGCCAGTTAACCGATATGTCTTTTGTTTCAATGAAAGCGAACATTATAATTCTTCAAAATTAGTTATCTGAGTTGAAAATATATATATATACCTACAGACTTTGCAGTTCGATGAATTTATTGCGTACTATTTCGAGGAACACACGTAAGCGAACAATACTGTTTTCAATTAGATCTCATTAGGCTTAACTCTAATATATACATAAGTTTACAAATAAAATTCAAATATAAAGCAGTCATGGTGTTTTGTCTATAGGATAATACGATGGTGAATATAAATTGTGCAATTAGTCATAATAGTAGTAATGATAATAATAATTATAGTAATAATAGAAATGGTCTTATCAATAATAAGGATGAGAAAGTGAGGCAATCTGTGATAACATGAATAATGAACAAACAGCATGATTAAACAAACAATTGTTCAGGTGGAAGTAGTCGATAAAAGCTAGTAAAAACAAATGAACCAATTAAGCAATGTTAGCTTGTAAGGGAAGGAAATGAAACACGTTTATAATGAAGATAAGACTAAGGGAATATAAGAAAGGGGTTGAAAATATAAACCTAAACTATGTATTCAAAAAAAGTTCGTAAAGCCATTATCTCTCCCTTGGCCTATTAAGACATAACCCACTAATGACTTCTACAACACCCTTTGTTTATTAGTTCGAATGCCTATCGCCTCAGCTGTGTGCAGTAAACGAATATGAAGTCTATTGAAAAGATTCTGTGGGATACGATGAATTACTTTGAAAGCTGTCGTTTTCTCGATTACATGACCACTATCAGAAATTCTCAGAAACCGCCTTTATAAATGTCTGAAGGAGACATTTCCAACAACCACTCTACGTATCACATTCTCCTGCAGACAGTTAATCCAGTCTAACACTAAGGACAAGATACCGCTTTTGGCCACTTCAGTGTGTATTTATCAATTTACTTGCTCGTGTGGAGCAAAGTATATCGGCCGTACGCAACGTCAAGTCCACAAACGTATTCTGGAACACTGCCCAGCTTGGTTATCCAGAGGAGAAAGGAAGAACAGCAACAGCTCGATCCTCGAACACCTTGTCATCTCTGGACATCGAGCACCCTCACATGAATGCTTCACAGTGTTACACATAGTCCCTCAATGTCGTACAAAAGGACTTCGGATACGCCATATGTACATAGCTGAAGCATTAGCCATACGAGATCTGAAACCGGACCTCTGCATCCAAAAGCGATATATACATTCTCTTGCCCTACGATGGCCAGAGTAAAGTCCTTACCACAATTTTGCTTCTTTCCTTTATTATGTGAGTTCATTATTATTATTATTTTATTTTATTAATAATTTTATAATCATTATTATTCCCATCATCCACATTTTGTTACCACTCTATTACTGTTTATTGATAACATCGCTTTTCATACATATTTTATACAAAAACACTTTATAGCCTTTCCACTAGTTCCTGTCCATTTTACACGAGCTTATTGATTATTCATATATATATATATATATATATATATCCGTGTATGTAAAGTATTCAGTCCTATATCTCCCAATGTCATTTCAAAAGTATATATCCGTGTATGTAGAGTATTCAGCTGACGGGTTCTACCGAAATTTGATGAATTCATTAAATCCTGCTTTATTAACCTTTATTGCTTGTTCTATATTCATTATCTCACACTTATTACGTCATACCAACTTCTGTCTCCTTTCTAACTTACAATTAGTCATCCCTTGTTACACCTTACACCTTATGTAATACAATTTTCCAAGGACAAAATTTACCAGTATCTGATTGGTCTAAAGATTTTTTTGTTGATTATAATTACGATTGTGCAGCAGCTTATGAAAATGAATCGTCGAGAAGAAAATTTTCTTCGCTTTTTGTGCCTTTTTCTTATGAATTTTATTTGCAAACTTATATATATATATATATATTAGAGTTAAGCTTGATGAGATCTAATTGAAAACAACACTGTTCGCTAAAACGTGTTATTCTAAATTTTACTATGGGAATATTTAATATATATTTCGTAGAGTTGCTTTAAACTCCTTTAAGTTGAGAACACATCGATTAACAAGCAGATCGATTTTTGTAACTTCAACGCTGACCGGTTATTGACAAGGTTCAGTAGAGAATGTTAATTGACACCAAACACCAGAGGTTATTGTTAGTTATTCACGGTGTAAGGGTAATAACACAATATCGGAGAAATTGTGGGTGACAGTACGTAATCGTCAGAGTTGATAACTAATTAGTTAAGTTTCAGATAATAATAATAATAATAATTGTTTCTCTTTCCTTGACTTAAAATTTGGTCAGATGACTAAAATCGAAAGAATACTGTAAAGTTGGAATTCAGTTTAAGCCGAACAGATTTTGTGTCAGACTATATATAAGGCATTGCTTCAGTGATGCCACATGTTAGAAATGCTTACCATCTGCTCATGTGACCTGGCTCCAATTCCCTGTCGACGCCACTCCCGAAACCTCATCTGACATTATTCCACCACGTGTACCAAGGTTGAATTAGGTGGGATTCAAACTCTTTCTGTGACTCATCCCTTGAAAGTTGTCAGCCGAAAGTATGCTGACTAATTTATTCTTTATTGGAACTGGAACCAATCTAGATTTTGGTTGACCCGAATAAGATAAGAGACCTAGAGAATAGTTCAGCTGTAGCACCACTCTACATGCAATTACACACAACTATACAATAGGATGGGATGGGATAAAGTGACAGTTTTAAAATCTAATATAACAGCGGGGTGGAGGGAGAGATTGAAAACAGAAGCTTTGTTTATCGAATCAACTGCAAATACATGTAGTAGGAATGATTCAACACCTGCCCCAGACATCTGGAAAATTTTACTACCCCTACGACTGATAGGAGAAGACAAAGAAAACTACAATACTCAAGTTTCAAAGTCGTGTGATTACAATTGATATGATTATGAACAATAAATTTTCAAAAGAATGGACACGGAACAAAGAGTACTCTTTTCGATAAATTCATCAGCAGGTTCTACAATTATATATACATTATAATGAATGAATGAATTAGTGTTATGAACGACATTAATGTTTAAATAACATCAAATCAATAATAGTGATAGATTACAGCTAAATAGCATCAACATAGAATAAGCTGAATGTCAGAAGAATAAGGAAAGATAATAGTACAAATTCATGAGTTTATAGTTTCTACTGA